GACTACACTGGTCACGACTAGCTCTACCAACTATGCCTAGTCACGACTGCCCTGGTCACGACTACCCTAGTCATGACTACACTGGTCACGACTAGCTCTACCAACTATGCCTAGTCACGACTACCCTGGTCACGACTACCCTAGTCACGACTAGCACTGCTATGTACCACGACACCTTCTGTCTAACAGTATCTCGCTTCAGCACTCAATCGTTTATTAAATATGCCTACCAAGGCAGTGTGTGAATCAAGGCAAGACTTATTCAGTCACTTCTTTTTTTCCATCACAAAGCCGGTCTCATATATATTACTTACAATCTATCACTGCTGTCTACACGCCGAGATCAGAACAGAACTGTGCTCGTTGTTTCTGGTTTCTGCCTATTTATACCCTCTGGCCTTTCTTAGTGACACCTGGCGATGAGTGAGGTATAATCACCTGTACGTTTTTGTGGTACCTCTAAAACTATCAATTTTCTTAGCGTTTGAATTACAGAGACACAACACAAATGATTAACGCAAATAGATCAACATAGCTAACCTGAATACCATGCAAAATCAGCGAAGGTATGATTACGATATGTACATTCATCACACTTATATATCACTTGAGATTGAATGAATATTGTTGAGGCTTTATCACTTGAGATGGAATGAATATTGTTGAGACTTTATTATTTGGCAGGTACATTATGTAGAATTACAGGTACAAAGTTGTACATGTGTATAATTGGGTATTAAAACATCCTACAAAGGCCAAGATCACTATTATTAAGGACAGAACAGGGGTGTATAATGTCAAAAATACATTGTATTGTCCTTTCTGGTCCTCTAGTGTTCACGTTGGTGGTAAAAGCTATTTGATGCATATCCTACCTGAAATATGATATTACCAGGAATAATTAAGTTAAGATGGCCGTCTATCAAGGTCAAGGACACACTCCATCTTCTGATTGGTTGAGACATATATTAGCTCTTATTTTTATTTTTTTTATGACCTGTCAGTGTTGAAGTATTGCAGACTAAATATGGGAGCTATATAATAGTACCAATCTGTATGTTACTAAACCTGACACAGATTTCTACTTGTCCTAATGTCACTGTTTACCAACTATCAGATTATTCTGCTCTATTTAACTACTTTTCCTGACACCACTGTTTGCTGTCTCAGATTCTTATGATTTTGTCACTGTCACGTTGCTGCTTTCTTTCTATCAGTAGGATGCATGCCACCAAGTGCCTGGTGGCAGATGCCGGATTCCAAGTGTCAGCCCTGGAGTTCCTATTAGGATCTCCAGACCAGCCCCAACCAACTGACAGCTCAGCTGATAAACACAAGTTTTTCTCCCTCCAGAAATGTAAGTACATGACTGTCATATTAAAGGTGATATAGGGAACCTGAAAACACAGAATTCAACCAAAAATGTGATGGAAGCATGGGATCAAATGTTATAAAAATTAAGGGGCTTATCCTCCCGGAGGCTGAGAGATGTGATAAAAGGGTATAAATTGGCTGATTTCATTTGAAAGACAACTTACTTCCAAACTTCTAAATGGCAGATTTCAACCAAATTGTATTGGTAGAATCCTAGACAGGCGAGTGATTTAAGGCCCTTGGGCCACTTGTCAGAAAGCTCAAGTTGTCTTTCAGTTTGTACTACAGTTGAAGAAGTGAGATGATCTACTAATATAAAATGCTTATATTTGTGTTACAGTTGAGGAGGTGAGTGAGGAGGAGATGACTACAGTACGGGATTTCCTCGCCCACATCAAACATCACGTGGCCACAATCTCAAGTAAAGAGGAGGTAGTTATAATATAGAATCTATCAAGTAACATTTCATAGAATCTGTGTATCTGTGTAGAATGTGTACTATAATTGACCTTGTGTATTTTCAGGTGATTAAGGATGATGAACTGTGTACGATATGCTATGCCTTTCCACTGTCTGCCAAGTTTACACCCTGTGGACATTTGTCATGCAGGTTTGTTTTTTAATGCCTTAATGATTAAGACTAATTCAAAGGAATAGATTTTTTTATCTTTTATGATTCATTAGTTAAGTTGATTTGAATTTTCATTTAACAAAGGTATTTTTTTTCATTTTCATTGGCTCGCATTTATTCTGTTATTATTATCATTATTTATTATTAGAAAAATGAAAAACTGGAACAGTAATTATCTCTTTGAACCACAAAACATTGTACATATCCTGTAATGATTATAATACGGTGTACTCTGTAAAGCATGTTAACATTTGTAAGTTGTCTTCCTTTGACAGGAACTGTATCAGCTATCAGATGATGAGGAAAAAAGAGTGTTTCTTCTGTAAAGTGGTCGTCACAGAGGTTTGTGACCTGGATGGAAAGGTCATCATACAGAATACATCTGTAGGTAGCAATCACTGACCACTCGGACATTTGTAAAATAGATTTGATGGTCAGTGTTTGTGTGCAGTCAGCAAGGAGCAGTTTCTGACCAGACTTTTGTTACATGGACTTGTGGTTGTTACATGGATTTGCTGGTCCGTGTGTGCACACTTCCACTGATAAATCACTGACCTCTCCAGACATTTGTGACATGGATTTGCTGGTCCGTGTGTGCACACTTCCACTGATAAATCACTGACCACTCCAGACATTTGTGACATGATTTGCTGGTCAGTGTGTGCACACTCCCACTGATAAATCACTGACCACTCCAGACATTTGTGACATGGTTTGCTGGTCAGTGTACTGTGCGCATATGGCTGCAACAGGGTATTAAATTACAGACTACTCAAAATGTTTGTGACATTGAGTTAACGGTCAGAGTGTGGACATAGTCACAGGAAGTAATCAACGAGAACTCCAAAAAGTTGTGACAACATCATCAGTGATAGGTTCACTGTAAAGAAAATATTAACTGACCAGTCCCAAGGTCTACAACTATTAAAGAGGCACTTGTTATAATTCACAGTTCAGCAAGTTTTATCCTCCTAGTACATGAGTGTCAGGTCGACGAGGAATTATCGATATCCTTCATGGTACACTGCGAAAGGCTGCAGAATATTGTGTATACTGCAGATAATGTTAGTTTTAATTGTTATTGGGGAGGATTTCAATTTTGTGAATGGAGAGACAACATATATCCAGTAAGTGTAGCTCAATATTTGTTGTCAAAATAATTTAATCTGGTGATCAACTCTTATCACAAAGTGACACTAAAATATATATCACTTGTGAAGCCAGTGATTTATAATACCACAGAGACAAAGTCAATTTATCAACGGGTTTCTATAGATTTGTCCTGTCAGTGAAAATTTAAGAATTCAAAAATGAGATTATCAAATGAAAAATGTTGCCATTCATTTGTTATTGCTAAAAAACTAAATATTTTATCTCTTCAGAATTATTTACCGATACTGCTAGATTTTCTTTTCTCATAAGATTTAAAAGTAGTGGGTTGACGTTAATTATCGTGGTAATTACCACAAATAGTTATTGAATCGTCCCCAGTATTGCACCGTTTATAAATTCCTCGTGTTATGGCTAACACTAGGTAAATTTCTCCCAGGTATTGTTCAAGTATTGGATAGTTCTCATGTTGCAACACTAGGTTTTTACATAGGTAACCAACTGTGATATTTTTGTTACTTATATTTTCTGTGTGCTACCTGTTTTAATGATTAACTATCGCACAGCATATTAATGATCAAGGAAATATTTTCATTACTTAATGCAGGATTGAAAATGGTGCGTTATGTATTGTGAACAATAAAAAATATTGTATGAACAACAAAATATTTGTATTCATTTTTAGTCAAAGGAAAACTTTGGGTTTATTGTACTCGTTATGGAGTAGTGTGGACTCCTTATGGAGTATGGAGTAGTGTGGACTCCTTATGGGGTATGGAGTACTGTGGACTCCTTATGGAGTATGGAGTAGTGTGGAGTCCTTATGGAGTAAGGAGTAGTGTGGACTCCTTATGGGGTATGGAGTACTGTGGACTCCTTATGGAGTATGGAGTAGTGAGGACTCCTTATGGAGTATGGAGTAGTGTGGAGTCCTTATGGAGTAAGGAGTAGTGTGGACTCCTCATGGAGTAGTGTGGACTCCTTATGGAGTATGGTGTAGTGTGGACTCCTTATGGAGTAAGGAGCAGTGTGGACTCCTCATGGAGTAGTGTGGACTCCTTATGGAGTATGGAATAGTGTGGACTCCTTATGGAGTAAGGAGTAGTGTCGTCTCCTTATGGAGTATCGAGTAGTGTGGACTCCTTATGGAGTATGGAATAGTGTGGACTCCTTATGGAGTAAGGAGTAGTGTGGCCTCCTTATGGAGTATGGAGTAGTGTGGCCTCCTCATGGGGTATGGAGTAGTGTGGACTCCTTATGGAGGAAGGAGTAGTGTGGACTCCTTATGGAGTATGGAGGAGTGTGGACTCCTTATGGAGTAAGGAGTAGTGTGGACTCATTATGGAGTATGGAGTAGTGTGGACTCCTTATGGGGTATGGAGTACTGTGGACTCCTTATGGAGTATGGAGTAGTGAGGACTCCTTATGGAGTATGGAGTAGTGTGGTCTCCTTATGGAGTAAGGAGTAGTGTGGACTCATTATGGAGTATGGAGTAGTGTGGACTCCTTATGGAGAAAGGAGTAGTGTGGCCTCCTTTTGGAGTATGGAGTAGTGTGGACTCCTTATGGAGTAAGGAGCAGTGTGGACTCCTCATGGAGTAGTGTGGACTCCTTATGGAGTAAGGAGTAGTGTGGACTCCTCATGGAGTAGTGTGGACCTGTTGATTTGCATGGACCATCTGGTTTTCTTCGGTCGAAATTTCATGCACACATTATCTTATCTTAGGACATGTTTCTGGATAATAGCCAAACACAGATAAGGAGTTTTGGGAGGGTAACCCTGGTATTTTTAGGACGAAAAAATGGACATATTTATGCAGATTAGAAGGGTATAAAAAGATTGTTTCCAGTGAATACTAGTACAATTTTCATGAGTATGACAAAATACCGATACATTTCTCGAGTGTGAAGCAAGAGTTATATTTATGGTATACCCTGCCATACAAGCGTATATGTTTGGTATTCACTGGGAAAACATTCAAATGTTCAATTTATTCCATATTAAAGTAAAACAAGAGGCCCAGAGGGCCTGTAACGCTCATTGGATATCTAAGCAATCATGGAAAAATATTCTCGTAATGAGATCCCAAGGGAATATGCCGGACCTCAAGGCCAGTCCTTGTTGATATCTGTACTAGATTGTTCATGCCCAGCACTTTTATGTATGGTTATGGGGTGGGGATCTCAACTGTTTACAAGCTGTGACTCTGAAACTAGGTCCATAGGGTTTTGGCCAGACCCCAGGATTAATTCTAATATCATGACTGCATTCGTCTCTTTATACCCAGCATTTGGATTTATAGTGCCATTGTGTCACCAGAGGCCCATGGCAAGTACAGAAGCCCTGGGTAAGTCTTCTTCCTTTCCACTGTAGAAAATAAATAGGCTAAATCACCAATTATACTCAGCAATTGTATATATGGTTAAACGGTGGGGATCTCGACCATTTCCAAGTAATAAACTATTTTTGGCTCCACCCCTTAGCCGAGGGGGTCAGCCTCACCACTTGTACATTTTTGAATCCCTGCCTCCCATGAATGCTGAATGCTTCCTACCAAATAGATTGATATCCATGGCACAGCTCCAATTGTACAATTTTGAATCACCACCACCTAGGTATGCTTCCAGTCAAATATGGTTGATATCCATCTCTTAGTTCCAAATAAGTCACTTACAGCAATATAGCCAAATTGCCCCCTTTTGGCTCAGCCCCACCATTTGTACAAGTTTGAATCCCAACCACCTAGGGATGCTTCCAGTCAAATATGGTTGATATCCATCTCTTAGTTCCAGAGTAGAATTCGCTTAAAGCAATATAACCAAATTGCCCCCACCATTTGTACAAATTGAATTACCACCACCTAGGGATGCTTCCAGTCAAATATGGTTGATATCTATCTCTTAGTTCCAGAGAAGAAGTCACTTAAAGAAATTGTTGATGTACAGACGACAGATGCCAAGGTATGGTATAAGCTCACTTTGATTGATGTTGTCTTTGTTGGGAGATATTTAGAAGTTAAAACAATGACCAATTTCCATATATCCTACCAAGTATCGACCCAATACCTACATATCGGCCCATTACAATGAAAACAACCAGAATCATATTTTTATTTTCACATTTTATTTTGTTCTCACATGAGATTTGTATCGGTACTATCTCACACATCCACATTACAATCATACTCTACGCTATGACAATGAAGTTCCAATACTGGTGTTACCACACACCCCTTTTATACTTTACAAAGTCTCATCAGTTACACTCTCTCAGCGACAACTCTTCGTTCATTCAAAAATAAAGACATTTTTAAACTGACATGATGGTGGGAATCACTAGTTGCTAAATGTATTTTCTACAACTCCAATAATAATCACAACCAAATTCTAAATTATTTCATAAACATAAAATTACCTTGTGAATACATGTACTATGAAAATTGTTTAAAAATTGGTCTTTATTTGAAATTTGGACCATTATACATGTATTAGTTTGAAGAGAAAATCTATATCAGAATTTTAAAACACATCTCATCAGACAAATATATGATCCTAATTTCATCAGACAAATATATGATCCTAATTTCCAGAATCAAGGAACATACATCAACACAAACCATCCCTTCAGGTTGTCATCACTACTGAACACTATCAGCTTATGTATACTGGTAAAAGGGAGGTATACCCCCTCACTATCACAGTCATCACTGCCCACGATCTCTCACACACCACATCTCACACAAACAAAGTACCTTACCATACAAAGGAGGTCTATAGCCACCTTTTATAATAAACAGCTCCATGCCAGCAGCTCACACAGAAACCACCAGTGTTAAAGCATTAATGATCATGTTATTTCAATCGAGTCAAGCTTTTTTTTCACAATAGTATTTACAAATGAAAATATAACTTAGGTACAAGTAACTGATCAACAACAAAAAAATAACAAATGATCAACATTTTCTAGTACAGATTCTATTATCCACAGACTAGCTCTTGTTTAATTCCGTACATATTCAGTATACAAGAATTTTAAGCTGTTTTTAAAGATTGATAATCCCAACAAAACTATCGGTCTTCAATATTTCATATCTAAAAAAAAACAAGAAGTAGGTTTAAAGTCAACAATGCAATTTTTCATACAAAAATGAGATGCAGGATATGTAGTTACAGTTAGCTGCCGTACTAGATCTGATAAAATGTGTTCCTCGATGTTTAATTGAACTTTGATGAATTGATAATTAAGTGATATATTTAAATGGAGATTGCTGGATAAATATGAAATGCTTCTGATGTAAGATTGCAAATTATACAGAAAATTGAGAAAATTAAAGCATTTTGAATTCATTATTATGAAACATTTAGGGGAGGCGGCAAAGACATTCTGTATCATGTATATTACTAAACTTATTTGTGAAGACACTTTGATATTACCACAGCAAGCAGAATCGGTTTTTGAAAGTCACCTTGATAATATCACCATATCAACCAGATCTGTTTTTATAGGTCACCTCAATATCCCAATACAGCAAACAGAATCTGTTTGTGAAGGTCATCTTGATGATATAACCAAACAGCAACAAGAGTGATTTGTTTGTGAAGGTCACAGTGATATCAACATGGCAACCAGAATCTGTTTGTGAAGTTGGTCACAGTGACATCACCATAGCAACAAGAATCTGTTTGTGAAGTTGGTCACAGTGACATCACCATAGCAACCAGAATCTGTTTGTGAAGTTGGTCACAGTGATATCACCATAGCAACAAGAATGTGTTTGTGAAGGTCACTTTTATAATATAAATAATCATCTTACAACCAGAATCTGTTTGTGAAGGTCACAGCAAAATCACCATACAATGAACAGAATCTGTTTAGGTCAACTTGATCCTATCACCACAGCCATCCAGAATCTGCCTGTGAAGGTTGTGATGTATATCACCGTACTACAACTAAAACATTGTATTTAATGGCAAAGTGAACTTGACAGAAGACAGAAACCTCAGGGAAAACCCAACTCCCACTAGTACTATAAATGTAGAATCATGTCAGAAAACAAGGGTGTATCACAATAAATTAAAGGTAGAACTGCACTGTTATTTATAAATATGTGTAACACTGGTGGTTTAAGATCAACATGCTTAAATGGATTTTAAAAACTTTTTGTTTTTGTAAAATAAATGATCCACAATGTGTTTCTCAATGGACTTTGAATGGATTATTTTTAAAATGATGATCCTTTTCATAGGAGTCCTGAGCGAAGAATTTAGATGCCATAATGATTCCAATAACTATACACAACATTCACTCAACAGCTAATCCTCCTCCATGGGAGTAGCTGTAGATTCACTTGCACCAGAACTACTTTCACTTTCTACTTTCACTTCATCCTCACAATTGGAGTTATTTTCATTGTTTGTTCGACTCTCCTCATTATTGTTTTCCAACTGGTCGGAGTCTGCCACACTATCACTACTAGGAACTGTGGAATCGGTTTCCATGTTATCTCCTTCTGTTGTGGAGTCTGATTGTACTGTGGATGATGAGGCTAAAGGGATCTCAACAGATGGTGTATCGTTTGGCGAGTCTGTAGAAGTTGATGATTCCACACTAGAAGCACACGGCGCTGTGCTGGCTGTACTGGCTGTGTCCTGTGATACAGGGAATGATGAAGGCTCAACAGGTGAGTCTTCTGACCCACTGGCATCACTTGTAGTTACACCTGTTAATTCCGACTCTTTTGAAGCACTCTCTTCCTGTTCCTTGATGGGCTCTGGTGATGAGGACGAGGACAGTGATGATGACGATGAGACCTGGTCACTGTCTTGTGTGTCCTCACTCACAGGTAAGTCTTCCTTATCTTCCACCTCTTGGCTTTGTTTGTCAATTGGTTTGTTGTCCTCGTCCATGTGGGTTGTGTCTAATGGTGTAACAACAGTACTGTGTTCAGCCTCTGAGCTCTGCTGCACCTCTACAATGTAAAGTTTAGGCACACCATAACTCACAAAAAATATCAATTTTGTTCTAAAAATTTGATTACCCACTGTGTTTACAAGGCCCAGATATTTTTTTATTGAGAAAAGACCATACTGAAGTACCTTTAAAACAATTAAACATTACTGTCCTCTGGATTCAAATTTTTCAAACTATTTGTTACCAAAGAAATTGATTGCAACAATGAATTAAATACCTTTGGCCTCAGGCTCTGGGTTGGACTGTTGTGGTGTGACCTGGTTCAAATTATCAGACGATTCACTGCCTGAAATCCTAGTGTCATCCTCATCAGTGCCACCTTCTGTTGAGGGGGTTGTATCAGGAAGCAAGGACCCAGTGCCTGCGTCTGGATTTATCACGTTTTCGGTGGATGTTATATTTTCCTGACTTTTGATTTGGGGCTCTGTTTGTTGTTCCACCCTTTCCATGGCAGGTTGGACCTTTTCTCCATCACTTCGAGGGAAGTTTGGAGAGGCGGACACTTCAGTTTCGTGGAGTGGATTGGATAGCTCCTTGCTAAGCTCAGGACTATAGACCCGCTCAGATGGCCATGTGGTCTGGTGAGATGATGGAGACGGGAAAGTAGAAAAGTGGGGTTTGCTTTCTGGCCGCTCTCCGTTGTAACCATTCATGTCTAGTCCATTCATCATAGGTCTGGAATCCGACACAATCTTCCTGTAACATAGATTTATACTGTTAATCAGCAGTTCAAACTTCTGTCCAACTCAGACTGATTTTTATTGTCACATCTCAAATATAACATTAAAATATTCCTTTCACGAGCTATCAAACTTTTGCCACTATTTTCTGGATTCTCTTTCGTCTGTCCAAGAAAATATTAAATGTCAAAATTGAATGCAAATGTGAAAACTGATCATTTTGTTCAACAAATTGATCTTTCATTTTATAAAAATACTGTAACCTCTATTAAAATGTTCTCAATAAGCAGGACTACATTATACAAATGTATCTGGTATTTGCACATCATGAGAAGATATTTCAAACAAGAATAGAATGTGTATGGTACGTAATTTGTACAAAAGATAGTATTACCTTCCAAACGGATCCACTGTACTCACAACCAGCACATTCTAAAAACAGAAAATGATAAATTCGTCAAGATTTGTGTCAACATTGGTATATATTCATCAAGATTCGTGTCAACATTGGTATAAATTCGTCAAGATTCGTGTCAACATTGGTATAAATTCGTCAAGATTCGTGTCAACATTGGTATAAATTCATCAAGATTTGTGTCAACATTGGTATAAATTCGTCAAGATTCGTGTCAACATTGGTATAAATTCGTCAAGATTTGTGTCAACATTGGTATAAATTTGTCAAGATTTGTGTCAACATTGGTATAAATTCGTCAAGATTTGTGTCAACATTGGTATAAATTCATCAAGATTCGTGTCAACATTGGTCAAGTCTATGGATACAAAATGTGATAAAACTATAAAATGCAATATCAAAATCTTAATTTCCACAATTTACAACACATTCATATTTACTAATGGTAGATCTGGGCAATATCACCATTTTTTTTTATGAAGCAGATAAATATATCCACCACAATATTACCTTTTCTATTCCGCGTAGGAACTTGTCCGTCCTCTTGTAATGCTTCTTTGGTTCTGTGACTAGTTCACACAGACGTTGTATAGTAAATGGTGCCCTGAAAACAGAAGTATCACCAGTCACATTTAGAAGAAATTACTGTCTAATCCAGCTTCCTGCTAGATCAGATTTTTAACAATGAATATTCAACTTCATTTCACCAGGCATATCACTTTTACTTGCCTTCCAGGAAAACTCAAGAATCTCAAAGATAAAATTTGAAAATATAACATCAGTTATAATTACAACCAATGAAAACCTTGTGTACTTGTAGGTTGTTTTAAGTCGTTGAGGTGATTTCTATGAGATTTTTCAAGATATTTAATCAACATTTTCTAAAAAATAATATCTAAAGAATGTATTTAACGAGATCAAGAAAGAAATGGAATTTATTTTGTTTTACCAACATTTCCCCTTAAAATTCTAGTAAATGGTTGGTCATTCAAAAACATAATTTTTACAGAAACTGTAAACTCCTGGAAATCAAACAAATATTGTCTTAATCACTACTAATTCAACATTGGAAATGCTTCTGGAGACCAAATTATTATGTTGTATGTACCCTTGAAACTCTTCTAGTGAGCAGACCACTCTCTTTTTCATTTCTTCAAACTTGACATTTTCCACATTAGGACAGTTTTGTAGGTGATCAGCTGGGAAATCCTGGTTAAACTGGGTGATGACAGAATCCAACTTGTGGATGAAGAGGATTTTTAGCTGTTGCCATGGGAAGCTGTAAAGAGAAGTTTTGTTATTTATGACATGAAATATAAAACAAAATACAATATTTCTGAAATTAAAACATTTTCTTTCTCTTAACTATAAATTTAAGTTGATTTTTAAACCAGCAAACATGGTGGTACCAATTATGTGAATCAGGAAAATTTTTGAAACAACTTACTTTATTGTTGTAATGAAATAACAATTCCTCACATTTAAAAAAGCTACATACTTATAATTAAATCTGCATAATCTTTTATTTACATAATGCTGTGTACTAACAGATTTTTTGTTAAGACCAAAAAATATATATGTCTGTTTAGGGTTCCCGACCAACCCTAGCTTTTTACCCCCCACCCAAAACTTTTTGAGGAAAAAAAATCTTTAAAAAGAATGTTGATTTTCAGATTTTAGAAGGTTCCTTGCCTTTCAAAATGGCTTCCTGTTCCGTGTTGGCGCTAAATGTCAGCATATGGAGCACGATTTGCCTCCAAATGAACCTTGTTTATGTCATTCTTTGTTTTACATACAATAGTAGGGTCATAATCACATGACCACACGGTACACAAAAATATAAAAAAAAAAAAAAAATGACCAGTCATGATTAATTCTAACAAGAGGCCCAATGGGCCTACATCGCTCACCTGGAATTAATCTCACACTTGTAATCTTAAAAGTGGACTAAAATACAGCTACAGGCAGAATATCAGTGTTTGATTATGACGCCTGTGACCTTGAATGTCGAACAAGGACAGCAGGTTGAAAGTGGGTAAAGATCATTCATTTGAACAAACTTGGTAGCCCTTCATCCCAGCATACTACAGGCCAAATATCATGAGCCTGGAACTTTTGGTTATTGAGAAGAAATTGTTTGAAGATTTTAAGACATTTGACCCCTGTGAACTTGAACATTGGTCAAGGTCATTGATTTGAAAAAACTTGGCAGTCCTTTATCCCAGCATGCTACAGGCCCAATATCAGTACCCTTGGCTTTTTGGTTATTAAGAAGTTGTTTGAAGATTTTAATTAATTTGACCCATGTGACCTTGAAAGTGGGTCAAGGTAATTCATTTGAACAAACTTTGCAGTCCTTCATCCCAGCATGCTACAGGCCCAATATCAGTACATTGGGATTTTTGGTTATTGAGAAGAAGTTGTTTGAAGATTTTACAACATTTGACCCCTGTGACCTTGAAAGTGGGTCAAGGTCATTCATTTGAACAAACTTAGAAGCTCTTCATCCCAGATTGCCTTGCGGTTATTAAGAAGTTGTTAAAAGTAAAATATTGACGCCGGACGGACGCCCCACCATGCCATAAGCTCACTTGGCCCTTCGGGTCAGGTGAACTAATAATTAAGCCACTTTGACAAAAGCATCAGTACAAGACAAAGAAAAAAATACATGCATACAAGCATCAGTACAAGACAAAGAAAAACATACATGGTATGTACTCTGGTAACTTAATTGCTGAGTTACAGGAAAATGTTGGGGGGGAGGGGGGGGGGGAAAGCATTGGAGCTACATGTGGTAAGCATATATATAACACTTGTGACATTTTAATAAGTTGCTAGTATTACATGACATCACCACAAGTCTCCTTCAACTAGAAAATGTGACAGGATACAATTTGTTTACAACATAAGTAGGCCAGGTGTGCATTCAAGACTAAAGCTTTCGAGAAAATTTTAGACCCACTGAAAATAGTTAAATAATTGGAAAATGGCAGCCTTTGTAATCACTGAGTGCTTTTAAAATTTTATATCATTATGAATGTAATCTATGAAATTGAATCTGTAGTACAAAACGATCTAAACAATTTTCATCATGATCACTATTATATTCAATGTGCTCTTGGCGAAAATGAAGATATATCCATTTACCCTTCGATTTCAACAAATTTTATTGAACAAAAAATATTTGAACAATAATGTAGCTTAATTGACCCCTTTTGGCCCCTCCCCTCAGCCCCCCATGAATGCTTCTGACCAAATATGATTGATATCCATTATACAGTTCTACAGAATTAGTCGTTTATAGCAATATAGCCAAATTGCCCCCTTTTTTGGCCCCGTCCCTCAGCCCCTTGGGGGGTCAGCCCCACCATTTGTACAATTTTGAATCCCCACCACCTAGGGATGCTTCCAATGAAATTATGACATAACTCCAGAAAATCAATATCAAGACCCAATATTTAAATGTTTATCTAATATATGCTTGTTAAAGATATTCCCTTAATGGCAGTTTGAAGGGACCACTTTGAATGAAAATGCTTTATTTTCCAAAATAAGTTTTCAATAAACAACACAACATAACATTTTCAATTGCATCTAAAACTCAAGTATATTACATACAAACTTTAAGAAATGGTACCAAACCCCAAAATTACTCGAAAAATTTCCAAGATTACTAAGGATTGAAAAAAATGACTAAGGAACATTTTCAGGCTTTATTTACACATATGATAATCTGAAATAAGGCCTAGAAGGCTAGAAATACTTCATGAATTTCATACACAAATGAAATCTTGGGTTTCTTTATGGTTTTTTTTTTATATAGTCAATACATGACATATAAGTTTGGTGAAAAGTGACCATGAAGAACATTTAACTTGTTGACCCAGTTCAATAAATAATATTTTAACATACCCTGAAGAATTGTAATGCATCTTGAATTGTCCCATTTCGTGACACATTATACATCAATCTATGAAATGACATGGAAAAAATGAGCAGTTCAAATTCACTGCCAATATACATGCATTACAATTATTTAACATTTGACACCATCCTGTGACCATCAAGACATACTTGCAGCACACTGTCCAGTCATGATAAGAACCAGGCCCCGTATTCATGAAACCATTCTCATGCTCAAACTCCGATTCTATGGTCAAGCCCAATTTCTTGTCCTGGTGATAAATTTAAACTTAATATTTGGTTAATGATTTGGAAGAATTTTGGAGAGACTTCAAGCTGAATACCATTTTAAGTGTTACAAATAACAATTTTAACGTTTCTTGTGACTTATGCGAGTTACAAGAAAATTGGGTAATCGGTTGAGCACAGAATCTATGCTTGAGCATGAGAATGGTTTCATGAATACGGGCCAAGCCTATTGAATGTATTAATGATATTTAGAATAAAGAAGCTGTAATAATCATCATCAGCTCTACACGGAGACAACAGATTTGTCAAAAACACCCAATCATATAACCACATGTAATAGCAATCAATAAATAGTGATTAATGTTGTTATTTTAAGATAGAAGAACTTTTTGAACTGTACTCTGTGATATTTATGTATTGTAATATGCCTATTTTTACCTGAATAAATATTATTATTATCTGTTGAGGTTAGTGTCTATTGATCAAAAACATTTAAATGAGAGGTTATGAAAAAGCATTTTTTCAACTTTTTAATCAATCACAGGGTTTGACAAGTATCCTATATCAAAGACATGTTTTTCATATAACATATCCTGAAAACCTTTGTGAAATTATTTAAATCAATAAGTAATTGGAACAAACATCAACAGTCTAAGCAAAACAGAGCTTTTGGTTGGCAGTGATCCAAAAACGCAAAAACGTCTCACACGGTATTATATAAGGTACGTATATGTACAGTATGCGTAGTTTCTACTAGTTTGTTTTTCGAAATAATCAAAATGGACATGTACAGTATAAACTGAACTTCATAAAAGACTTTGTAATTTGTAGATTGTATGACATACGTCCGACAGACCACAGCACATGAAGACTAACAACCACGTTGTTTATTTATCAAAACACTCGTTCTTCTGTTTACTACGACTCTTTGTTCTCGTGTTGAGAGTTCAACGTGACAAATGCTCACACAGCAAATATGTCTACATGGGACATACGGTTTGTTAATAAAAACAAACACATATAACAGGAAATGGCGAATTATTATCATTTTAAATCGGTGACTGTTAAAGACTCACAGTGTTTCCCCCGTTTTCGCCACTCGTCTGAGATACTGATCCAGAACCGGTGGTATGTCGGGGGTCGGTTTCTTCTCGTAGCCTGACAAGGAAAATGTCAACATATATTAATTAAATTCCTACCCAATCAAAAGATTAAATAATCATATGGATTTCAACCAGAATATTACACACAACTTACAGCACAGGGCATCCAATACATCCTCTTGATTTTCCATGTTTATTTCCTCTGCGCGAACCATGGAGGTCGATGATGGCGGCGCGGAAGTGACGTCAATCTGTGAGAAAAACTCATCGAAATTATATTTGCTCATTTTGAAATAGGGGAGGTTAGGTTTAAAAGTATAAAAAAAATTATAAGATTTATTAATGTTTTTGTATTATGTATTTTGTAAGTATACATTTTACGAAATTATTTTAAAATAAATCCTTCAAAGAAGATATTATGTGGGAATGTTACTTCGACAACAATATATACTGCATTTGATTACAACTATTAACACCCCTGCTATTATCGGCGATTAAAACTATCCAGATATCGGTGAAGTCTCGTCACCACCTGCAAATCTCGATATGTAAATATGGCGCGGTAAATCATGTAGAACGGAGGAAACGGAAACTTTAGTGACAGCTCTGCATGGTCGTTCTGAGGTAGAAAAAAAGGTAAGCCACTCGTTTTTAGATTATTTACGAACCGGAATTAATTTCAGGGCTGCTGTATTTTTGGACTTTACTATATCTTATAAAATTATCACCTAAACCGACAGATGTACGGTGAACTTTACGGGAGTGACTGCTATAATTGGACCAACCCACCTGTAATTTTCACCTGCATCAAGGTAATGGATATGACAGGCTGTCTGGTACAGCGGATAATATAACAGTTCTGGTGGTATTGCGCTTGTCGTTATCACTTTTCGTGTCCGTCGCTTTTGTTCGCTTAAAGAGGAAATAAACTTACAATATATATTGTACAGGTAAATGTCAATACAGGTGTGCAAATGAGTACACATTTGTATTGGACACGTAACGTTTACATTTACACACTGTGTTTATTTATACTTTCACATCTCTTTTGTCTTATTTTGCTTAAGGTATGTGCTATAAACATGCTATACATTTATATACATGCAAGCATTTTTGAATAATCAAATTAATCATATCAATATAATCCATATGATCTACTGTGTATGCAGAATTTCTCAATAAATGTAACTAATTTGTTATTGTGTTACTAATTAATTAATGTAAAGAATTAATACCAAAATTTATGAGTTATATAAATAGGGTGATATATAAATCTTATTAATATATAATTGATGATCATTATGCTGAACAATAGACTTGAAACACATTACATGCGTATATTATCTAATGTACACATCTTCTGTCATGAGCTCTTTAGAACTGTTTTCTAGGTCAATGGTGTTGAGACGATCATGCATCATATATATCAGTAAATAACAGGTAGTGGAAGTTTCATTAATTTATTTAAAGCACAGGATGAAATATCCCTCTTCAAGGTGTAAGCTAATGTGTCAATGAAGTCCGAATTGTAAACATTTCTTTTTGAGAACAGCTAGGACCAGTAGTAGACCACAATCACATTATAAAATTTCACACAAAGTTGAGAGTGAGACAATGACCAGGAAAGTGTATCTGTACCTGTATGTTTATACAGTGTCAAGCTCTATAGGTAAGTGTAGTGTTGAGTGGGGGTCAGTGTTACACCTAAATACAGGTGGCCATTGGTTATCAGTGATAGATAATATACACCCAGTACAATGCTAATGATATCGACTCTGGTATCGCTGTCATGGCCCCTACCTCAGTACATTAATGTTAACAACATCAGTATAATTTAACACACAACCTTCCTCATTTTTGTGGTCCTAAAATAAAAGGTATCATTATGTACTTTGATTTTTAAAATGTGTCCTTCACTAAGTCATGATCGAGGAACATTTGGTTACTATTCAGATGTGTCCAGTTTAAAACAAGTATCTTTTGCATAAAAAAATATTAATTTTCAATCTCTAAAACTACCTCAAGAAAGGTATACCTTAGTTTCAAACCCCGTCCACACCAGGCTACAGGCATTGTATTGTCAATCCCACCAGCCTTCACAGGTATGTCAGATGTGTACATTGCTTGTACTTCAGGGCACAGTTTAATTAATTGTGATACTTTATATATTTGACTGGCCTCTGTCACAGGTGTATCCCAGGTATGTAGTCTCCAGATGCAAGTATGTGTGCATAACAAACTGACATGACACAGGTATGCTTTGTTACCATTTTTTTTTTTTTTAAACAAGGAAATAGGGAGCTTCATTCATAAACCTTTACCTGCTGGTATTCTTGTTGGCTTATCTTTCTGTGCAAGTGTTATCATCAATTATAATAGCTGGGTATAAATGTCACTAATTTGTGGACACAGAATTTCTACAGTTTTCAAACTCACAATGCATATGCAGAACATCTGTTTGTTATTATATATATCATATTTTTAGATTTGTAGCTAAATTAAAGTGATATTTTTATGTGTACATGTAATAACTACAGATAGAAAATCCTGTTCAGTCCTGATGTATTATGTACATCTGTGTTCTTTCTATTGCTTTATTATATTGTTAAACAACAATTTTGTGAGAAAATCATATAACTCATATATCACACATCATACCAGGTAACTTCATTTTGTCCACGAAATACTACCTCACAAACTAGATTGGATACATATTTCACTGAATTATCTCCCTTTAGACATGACTCCTTCCATATACTCTAATAGACTGGTCTATAAATAGTGTAATATAATACCATATGAACTTCTAAACTGTGGTGGTACCTTATTTGTATTATATATTGCAAAAAATGTTCAAATTTTAGGTTTTGTTCCTATTTTGATGGACTTAGATGAAACCTGCACCAATAAAACCTGATTTTTTTCTTCCAGGTGATGTAAGTACCTTTATAGTTTACTGCTTTAGCGAGGTGTTATGGTTGGAAAATTCTGTTCATCTTTTGAAATGAAAATTGAACTGGTTTACCCTGTTTTGATATATGTTCACTAGCCATGACCCCGCAGTCGATTGTTATAACTTGTCATTTTCATATAAATAGTTGACACATGGATGGGATCTCGCTGGTTATAAATTTAGATGATCAAATATACATAACTGGAAGTATTATTTGTGTATGTGAACAATGAACATGTTTACTGCACATAGGGAATGTACATTGTTATAGTTTGGAATATAAAAAAATAAAAGATCTATCCTATCATTTAGATTGCCAGATTTTACATCCCTCGTGTACAATGTGTAAATAAAAAGATTGTTTTGTTTTCAAACAGATTTTTTATTTTGATATGGCCACTTAGATACCTACTCATTTTTATATAACATTTAATCGAATATTTATATTAATTTGGACCTATTTGCAACAAGGAGATCATTCTCTCCTTTTAAAAGTTCTCAAAGGTACAGTAGTCATGTAATTTCATTTGTAAACATTTTTTTTTCATTTTAACCAAATACCTTTGAGGATTCAATCTGTTCATACACATTCAAGGTAACAGAAGGACTTTGAAGTTTGCATGTTTGAGATAGTCTGCGGTTTTCAGAAGTCAAGGTTGGTGTCTATAGGGAGACTGTAAAGGTGATAAAAGATGGAAGTTTACCTGTCCCTACTCAGCTGTATTCAAAGGTTACGGGTCCCAGACATGCAACATGAATTACAAACATTACAGTAAAAGACATATTTGTGAATTTCAAATAAAAGCATGTACTTAAGATAAGACACATTTATAAAATTAAACTGTTTACAGTAAAACAGGTATCTGGATTATCGGGGATGGAGCTGTAAAAGCTGAGGTGTTTATTAATTCAACAGGTATTGATTGTAACCTTATATCAGAAGGCTGTAGTGTACCAAAGTATCCCATGCCAGATATATATGTAGGTAGGATACGGTCAGGTCCAGGACAGTCCAGGTACGTAGATCTACCTGTGCTATCGTTCAGGTACAGGTCTACAGGTGATACAAGACGGACAAACAGGTGATGGATGAGATAAGATGTTGCAGGCTGTCTATTGTTGTATTTAACAGTGATATATCACCTGATAGCCTGTCTCTCCCCAGCTCATTAACAGGTAGGAGGGTATTGTACCTCTCAAGTTACTACATCAAGTAAACCTATGGGAAAAGTCAACACCCTGGTATTAACAAGTGTGGTCCAATCAAACACTGACAGGTTGATTAAGGAATAAACAGTTGATTTAAGCATAAGCCTTCTGATAATAGTTTGGTTAAGTGGAAGGGTCAACTACAGATCATAGGCAGCTAATACAAGTGACAGATCATAGCAAGGTTAGACTGTCTACTGATAATAACTAGGTTAGACTCCAGATAGTGCTGTCTTCTGATCATAACAAGGTTAGACTCCAAAGGGAGCTGTCTACTGATCATAACTAGGTTAGACTCCAGGGGGAGCTGTCTTCTGATCATAACTAGGTTAGACTCCAGAGGGACCTGTCTTCTGATCATAACTAGGTTAGATTCCAGGGGGAGCTGTCTACTGATCATAACTAGGTTAGACTCCAGGGGGAGCAGTCTGTCGATCATAACTAGGTTAGACTCAAGGGGGAGCTGTCTACTGATCATAACTAGGTTAGACTCCAGATGGAGCTGTCTACTGATCATAACTAGCTTAGTCCCCAGATGTAGCTGTCTACTGATCATAACTAGCTTAGACCCCAGATTGGTCTGTCTGCTGATCACAGCAAGGTTCTATTAATAACAGAGTAGCCTGATGATTAAAGCTTATGTAATAGTTGATTATTAACTAATTTTATTAACTAATTTTATCTACATACAATAGGTTATTATCAGTAAAACACACAGTTAATCAATATTTGTACATATCTGCAATGTAACTGGATATATACAACATTTATCAGCATCTCCGACTGTTCAATTATGCAAATTTGGGTTGCCTTTCCTCGGTCTGGTGTATATATACTGGGTGTACTGGTACTAATCAATTCCCTCAGTAAGTTATTCACCGACTTTGGTTTGTTTACATCCATCAGCTGGAGTAAAAAAGTGGGGGATCAAATATACATCTGTCAGATGGTGTACCTAGAGGGATTAGATATACATCCAGAACTCCTAGAGGTTTCATTTTGACAGAAAAAATGTGACAAACTTCAACTTTGCATTACTGGTACATATGCAACAAAACTGATGAAAGTTTGCAAGTGCCTTCATATATACAATTTTGATTGTGACTTACATGCTAGGAAGTGAAATATTCCAGAATCAAGTTGGATTAAGAGGTGAAAAATTGGCCTATATGGTGTGGCAAAATATGATTTCTGGAAATTTAAGGGAAAGATACAACTAGATCCATTCACTAGGAAAAGGTGAGTACCTGTAAAACACACTGAAAGTACTGGGATTCCTATTGTTAAAAAAAATAATATGTATATTCTCATAAAACACAACTTTACCAAAAAATCAGAATGATTGTCAGTGTGTTTATTATGAAACGAAAAACAAAATTGTATGATTGTGATGAAAATCATGCATTCAGTATACTTCTTTGATTTTTCAAAATGGGGAATAGACAATCAAGTAAGCTTATGGCATGGTGCGTCGTCCGTCGTTTGTCCGTCGTCAACCTTTTACTTTAAACAACTTCTTCTCAGTAACCAAAAGGCCTATGGTGATGATATTTGGCCAGAAGCATGCTGGGATGAAGGGCTACCAAGTTTGTTCAAATAAATGACCTTCATCAATTTCCAAGGTCACAGGGGTCAAATATGTTAAAATCTTTAAGCAACCTCTTCTGAATAACCGAGAGGCCTAGGGTGATGATATTTAGCCAGTAACATGCTGGGGTGAAAGGCTACGAAGTTTGTTCAAATTAATTACCTTGACCTGTATTCAAGGTCACAGGGGTCAAATATGTTTAAAACCTTTAAACAACTTCTTCTGAATACAAGAGGCCTAGGGTAATGAAATTTGGCCAGTAACATGCTGGGATGAAGGGCTACCAAGTTTGTTTAAATAAATGACCTTGACTTATATTCAAGGTCACAGGGGTCAAATAAGTTTAAAACCTTTACACAACTTCTTCTGAATAACCGAAAGGCCTAGGGTGCTTAAATTTGGCAATTTACATGCTGGGATGAAGGGTTACCAAGTTAGTTCAAATAAATGACCTTCATCAATTTTCAAGGTCACAGGGGTCAAATATGTTTAAAACCTTTTCAACAACTTCTTCTGAATAACCAAGAGACCTAGGATAATGATAGTTGGCCAGTAACATGCTGGGATGAAGGTCTACCAAGTTTGTTTAAATAAATGACCTTGATTTATATTCAAGGTCACAGGGGTCAAATATGTTAAAATCTTTAAACAACTTCTTCTGAATAACCAAGAGGTCTAGGGTGATGATATTTTGCCAGTAACATTCTGAAATGAAGGGCTACCAAGTTTGTTCAAATATATGACCTTTATCATTTTTCAATGTCACAGGGGTCAAATATGTATGAAACCTTTAAACAACTTCTTCTGAATAACCAAGAGACCTAGGATAATGATAGTTGGCCAGTAACATGCTGGGATGAAGAGCTACCAAATATGTTTAAATAAATGACCTTGATTTATATTCAAGGTCACAGGGGTCAAATATGTATGAAACCTTTAAACAACTTCTTCTGAATAACCAGGGGGACTAGGATAATGATATTTGGCCAGTAACATGCTGGAATGAAGGGCTACCAAGTTTGTTCAAATGAATGACCTTGAATCATATTCAAGGTCTCTGGGGTAAAATATGTTGAAAACATTTAAACAACTTCTTCTGAATAACCAAGAGGCCTAGGGTGATGACATTTGGCCATTAACATGCTGGGATGAAGGTCTACCAAGTTTGTTCAAATGAATAACCATCGCCCATATTCAAGGTCACCGTGGTCAATATATGTTTAAATCTTTAAATGATTTGTTCTGTATAACCAAAAAGTCCAGGGTAATGATATTTTGCTAGAAGCGTACTGGGTTGGAAAACTATAAATTCTGTTCAACCTAATGTCCTTGTTTGACATTCAAGGTCACTGGTGTCATATGTTAAAATATTTTAATAGGTTCTTATTAATCAAACACCAATATTCTGCCTGTAGTTGTATTTTAGTCCACTTTTAAGATAACAAGTGTGAAATTAATACCAGGTGAGCGATTCAGGCCCATTGGACCTCTTGTCAAGGGAAAAACCTAATATACCCTTTAAATAAATCACTGCAGGAGGAGCAATCTGTACATATGTACATATAATAAGTAAAATGAGGTAAGCTGTGACCTGTTCCATTGAAATCCCATTCAGGTACAATTTCTATCAGACAATTAATTCCAAAGCTGAAAACGTTTGATGTTCAAGTAATTATATATATATATATATATAATTGTATTATCAAGACCAGCTTATCTCTGGTGTAATGTAGTACATGTGTGTGGTAGGTCTATAGCGAAAAGTGTTCATTTAGATATCACATACAGTATATATATTCATTAAATATAATAATTATAAGTGAAATCATAGTGACTAAAGGTGTACATTGTAGTATACAGTATCAGGGCCAATTATTGTGTCAGTGTGGACCAGTAGTTACTGTACAGTCCTACTAGGCTGAATACAATAATGTGTGTGTCTAGTTCCCTGATAGTATACAGTATCAGGGCCAATTATTGTGTCAGTGTGGACCAGTAGTTACTGTACAGTCCTACTAGGCTGAATACAATAATGTGTGTGTCAGTTCCCTGATAGTATACAGTATCAGGGCCAATTATTGTGTCGGTGTGGACCAGTAGTTACTGTTCAGTCCTACTAGGCTGAATACAATAATGTGTGTGTCAGTTCCCTGATAGTATACAGTATCGGGCCCAATTATGTGTCAGTGTGGACCAGTAGTTACTGTACAGTCCTACTAGGCTGAATACAATAATGTGCATGTCTAGTTCCCTGATAGTATACGGTATCAGGGCCAATTATTGTGTCAGTGTGGACCAGTAGTTACTGTACAGTCCTACGAGGCTGAATACAATAATGTGCATGTCTAGTTCCCTGATAGTATCCAGTATCAGGGCCAATTATTGTGTCGGTGTGGACCAGCAGTTACTGTACAGTCCTACTAGGCTGAATACAATAATGTGCATGTCTAGTTCCCTGATAGTATACAGTATCAGGGCCAATTATTGTGTCTGTGTGGACCAGTAGTTATTGTACAGTCCTACTAGGCTGAATACAATAATGTGCGTGTCTAGTTCCCTGATAGTATACGGTATCAGGGCCAATTATTGTGTCAGTGTGGACCAGTAGTTATATATATATATACTGTACAGTCCTATTAGGCTGAATACAATAATGTCTACTAAATATCTTAACTATGTTTCTTTGCTGCATCTATTGTTACCAGGTAAATTAAGGAATACCGGTAATACTGAAATTTTGGAAGGTAAAATTGATTATGTACTGTAATTGAATTGTTCATTAAAACTCATTTGAATATATGCAGATATGTTAACAAATGGTTCATAAAAACTCTTTAGCATGTGAAGGGATCAGGTATTTGAAAATGAAAATAGAAATGATGAGCAACAGCACCATTGAATCCGGTACTACACAATGTGATGCTTGATATATGTCCTATACCCTATGTGGATCATTGAGTCCGGTACTACACAATGTGATGTTTGATATATGTCCTATATCCTATGTGGATCATTGAGTCCGGTACTACACAATGATGTGATGCTTGATATATGTCCTATATCCTTAAATGTGGATCATTGAGTCCGGTACTACACAATGTGATGCTTGATATATGTCCTATATTCTATGTGGATCAAGTATTTGTTTAAATTATGACATCTTCCTTCGTCAAAGTCCTGAAATGTTGGTGTAGATGTTTTTGAGACATAAACTTGTCTTTATTGAAGGGATACTAAAATTCTATGATGTGATATTTTATTTTTGATTGCAGATGTCGGGTGGTACACAGATGGAGGCAGGGCAGCTGCTCAAGTGTGGGGAGGGCGAGTTTGAGAAGTCTATACAGGAGATGTCCCTCAAGGTAGGTAACTCCGTCCCATACAGTGATAAAGGTAGGTAACTCTGTCCCATACAGTGATAAAGGTAGGTAACTCAGTCCCATACAGTGATAAAGGTAAAACTACATAGAAGGTGTTGGTACTATACATAGCGTCCTGACTAAGGTATTGGTACTATACATAGCGTCCTGACTAAGGTATTGGTACTATACGTAGCATCCTGACTAAGGTATTGGTACTATACGTAGCATCCTGACTAAGGTATTGGTACTATACATAGTGTCCTGACTAAGGTATTGGTACTACACAAAGCGCCCTGACTAAGGTATTGGTACTATACATAGCGTACTGACTAAGGTATTGGTACTACACAAAGCGTTCTGACTAAGGTATTGGTACTATACATAGCGTCCCGACTAAGGTATTGGTACTACACAAAGCGTCCTGTCTAAGGTATTGGTACTATACATAGCATCCTGACTAAGGTATTGGTACTATACATAGTTTCCTGACTAAGGTATTGGTACTATACATAGCATCCTGACTAAGGTATTGGTATTACACAAAGCATCCTGACTAAGGTATTGGTACGACACAAAGCGTCCTGACTAAGGTATTGGTACTATACTTAGCGTCCTGACTAAGGTATTGGTACTATACAAAGCGTCCTGACTAAGGTATTGGTACTATACATAACGTCCTGACTAAGGTATTGGTACTATACATAACGTCCTGACTAAGGTATTGGTACTATACATAACGTCCTGACTAAGGTATTGGTATTACACAAAGCATCCTGACTAAGGTATTGGTACGACACAAAGCGTCCTGACTAAGGTATTGGTACGATACATAGCGTCCTGACTAAGGTATTGGTCCTGCACAAAGCGTCCTGACTAAGGTATTGGTACTATACATAACGTCCTGACTAAGGTATTGGTACTACACAAATGGTCCTGACTAAGGTATTGGTACTACACAAAGCGCCCTGACTAAGGTGTTGGTACTACACAAAGCGCCCTGACGAAGGTGTTGGTACTACACAAAGCGCCCTGACTAAGGTGTTGGTACTACACATAGCACCCTGACTAAGGTATTGGTACTACACATAGCATCCTGACTAAGGGGTTGGTAATGCACAAAGCGTCCTGACTAAGGTATTGTTACTACACAAAGCGTCCTGACTAAGGTATTTGTCCCATACAGTGATAAAGGTAGGTAACTCAGTCCCATACAGTGATAAAGGAAAAACTACATAGAAGGTGTTGGTACTATACATAGCGTCCTGACTAAGGTGTTGGTACTACACAAAGCGCCCTGACGAAGGTGTTGGTACTACACAAAGCGCCCTGACTAAGGTGTTGGTACTACACAAAGCGTCCTGACTAAGGTATTGTTACTACACAAAGCGTCCTGACTAAGGTATTTGTCCCATACAGTGATAAAGGTAGGTAACTCTGTCCAATACAGTGATAAAGGTAGGAACTCTGTCCCATACAGTGATAAAGGTAGGTATCTCTGTCCAATACAGTGATAAAGGTAGGTAACTCTGTCCCATACATTGATAAAGGTAGGTAACTCTGTCCCATACAGTGATAAAGGGAGGTAACTCTGTCCCATACAGTGATAAAGGTAGGCAACTCTGTACCATACAGTGATAAAGTTAGGTAACTCTGTACCATACAGTGATAAAGGTAGGTAACTCTGTCCCATACATTGATAAAGGTAGGTAACTCTGTCCCATACAGTGATAAAGGGAGGTAACTCTGTCCCGTACAGTGATAAAGGTAGGTAACTCTGTACCATACAGTGATAAAGGTAGGTAACTCTGTCCCATACAGTGATAAAGGGAGGTAACTCTGTACCATACAGTGATAAAGGTAGGTAACTCTGTCCCATACAGTGATAAAGGTAGGTAACACTGTCCCATACAGTGATAAAGGTAGGTAACTCTGTCCAATACAGTGATAAAGGTAGGAACTCTGTCCCATACAGTGATAAAGGTAGGTAACACTGTCCCATACAGTGATAAAGGTAGGTAACTCAGTCCCATACAGTGATAAAGGAAAAACTACATAGAAGGTGTTGGTACTATACATAGCGTCCTGACTAAGGTGTTGGTACTACACAAAGCGCCCTGACTAAGGTGTTGGTACTACACATAGCACCCTGACTAAGGTATTGGTACTACACATAGCGTCCTGACTAAGGCATTGGGACTATACATAGCATCCTGACTAAGGTATTGGTACTACCCAAAGCGTCCTGCCTAAGGTATTGGTACTACACAAAGCGTCCTGACTAAGTTATTTGTACTATACATAGCGTCCTTACTAAGGTATTGGTACTATACATAGCGTCCTCACTGAGGTATTGGTACTACACAAAGCGTCCTGACTAAAATATTGGTACTATACATAGCGTCCTGACTAAGGGATTGGTACTACACATAGCGTCCTGACTAAGGTATTGGTACTATACATAACGTCCTGACTAAGGTATTGGTACTATACATAACATCCTGACTAAGGTATTGGTACTACACAAAGCATCCTGACTAAGGTATTGGTACTACACAGAGCGTCCTGACTAAGGTATTGGTACTACACAAAGCGTTCTGACTAAGGTATTGGTACTATACATAGCGTCCCGACTAAGGTATTGGTACTACACAAAGCGTCCTGACTAAGTTATTGGTACTATACATAGCGTCCTTACTAAGGTATTGGTACTACACAAAGCATCCTGACTAAGGTATTGGTACTATATATAGCATCCTGACTAAGGAATTGGTACTATACATAGCATCCTGACTAAGGTATTGGTACTATACATAGTGTCCTGACTAAGGTATTGGTACTATACATAGTGTCCTGACTTAGGTATTGGTACTATACATAGCGTCCTGACTAAGGTGTTGGTACTACACAAAGCGCCCTGACTAAGGTGTTGGTACTACACAAAGCGCCCTGACTAAGGTGTTGGTACTACACATAGCACCCTGACTAAGGTATTGGTACTACACATAGCGTCCTGACTAAGGTATTGGTACTATACATAGCGTCCTGACTAAGGTATTGGTACTATACATAGCGTCCTGACTAAGGTATTGGTACTATACATAGTGTCCTGACTAGTCATTAGGCCAAACAGTAAAGTTGTTGTGTTTCTCCTTTGAGACCTTAAACATTAAGGGAGGTCAGTAGACCAAACCTTTTAAAAAAACGTCTTAATAGCAGATATCATACGCCTAAACATATACCTGAATGGAATGAAACATATGCAATATAGACAAATTTGAGTGATTTCTCTGTCTGTGTGAAAGAGTGATGCTTGATCATTGGTGTTTGTATGATAAGTGTCAATGTTGTATATTGATATGATAAAATGTCAATGTTGTATTTATTGATATGATAAAATGTCAATGTTGTATATTGATATGATAAAATGTCATTGTTGTATATTGATATGATTAAATGTCATTGCTGTATATTGATATGATAAATATCAATGTTGTATATATGATAAAATGTCATTGTTGTATATTGATATGATAAAATGTCAATGTTGTATATATGATTCAATGTTGTACTACAGAACCTGCTGGACACCATCTCCATACTACAGAAGGAGATGAGCCGTGAACAAGCAAGCTTTAACTCACAGAGTGCACAACTGGCCACACTGAACAAGAACTCACGTCAATACAAACAGATCTCCAAGGAGATGAACACGTCCCAAACCCGACTCACCATGCTCATGAACCGCAGCATGAAGTGCTTCCAACAGGTAACTGTCTTCTGTTTAAGTAGGGTAATGTAAACTAATGATTGGTAACCAACCAATTAGGTTCAAGAAATACATGTACTGGTTCATGAAACAGCTACTGCAATAATAACCAACCAATAAAGTCTGAGAAATACTGGTTCATGAAACAGTAAACTGCAATGAAAACCAACCAGTCAGGTCTTAGAAATACTAGTTCATGAAACAGTAAACTGCAATGATAACCAACACTCTTCAGAATGGTGATTACTACTTGTCAGGTGAATACTATGTTACACCTATGATAGTATTCCCAAGTACATGTATTGCAGAATAAATCCTTGACCCGTCTTACATTTTACAGGGCTAAAAAAAATAGAATATTGCAACAAACTGTACATTATATTACTTGTAGATGTGCAGGGCTTCCATTAAAATGTACTGTCTGATGTGTTGTGTATTTGGCAAATGATCAGAATATGTCGGTAAACCCATTGTCTGCCCTGATGTTGTAGCAGCACCTACTGTCATTTTCGACAGTGACTAAATATGTAACTACCTGCCTGTTAGTATGACAACAGCTGGTGTACCGTATCACCATAGTGATCTGTCATTTGTGTGGAGTTCACAAACCATTGGTGGGTCATGATACATGTGATCCAATCAGAACCCATTATAGTGGTCACCCTACCTAAGTGCATCACTGTAGTACCTGTGATATAGGGGTCGCAATCGGTATGTATGCTATATGACATTATGTGCGTGGGTTTTTTTCTCGACAAACATTCAGATTAAGTTATCGGTGATGTCTATCTATAGAGGAGACAGTGAGGCCACGGAATGTTGTCCTCCATTTTCAAGCTTCTTTTCTGTAAAGGTTAATGTTGTTCAAAAACCGGATAAGAGATATGTTTTACGCATGTTTGTCAGGAATAAGTTGATTTAAACCAGCTAGTATGTCATTATTTCTTCTTGTAATATATTGTTTCATTCTACAATAATATTTTCTAGAAAATCTCTTTTTACAGAGTAAGATATATTTATAGTGTTAGAAAATTTGATAAAGTATAATTATAATTACGCTTGACAAATACTATCTAGTATGTAATAAGACGTAAACTTGTAGTGAACATTGTTTTGTAATAATTGTTTTACATGTCTATAACTTTGTATTTACAGCAAGGGAACCAACATGTAAAGGCTGCCGCCTCTAGCCCGCCTGGGGTTCAGCGCCACAACTCCAATGTCGTGCCAAAGGAGGGTGTTCAGGGAACGAGTGTCCAACGCCGTCATTCCTCCAAAGTGTCGGCCACGGACGGTGAAGTCATCAAGAGTGGGTTTGACACTAAAGTGTCCACGCAGAACACGGGACCAAAGAAGCCTGTCATCTTACAGCCCATAGTAAACACTAGTAGAATGCCTGGTATGGGTGTTGCCAACAGTAAGGTAACCACTACCAATGGTGTAAGCGAGACGAGTACGGTGTCCACCTCTGTGTCATCAATTTCTGTAAAGTCTGACTCAAAATCTACAGACCCCTGTCCGGCTCATTCTAACATTGTGACATCCACTGCCAGTGTCCCCGTCTCCTCACTGACCAATGGCACCTCCTCTACTGTAGGGTCGTCCTCAACTAAATCCAGTGGTATCACTTCTACAAATACTGCTCCGGTTTCTAGCTCGTCCAATGGCAAGAGAACATCCATCTTAAACTTTGGAGTAAAAAATACTGTACAAAATTTAGAGAGGAAATCTGTTGTAAATGTGTCAACATCCCAAGTTGTAACAAACGGTACAGGGACAAGATCCACAACTTCAAGTACTTCCAGAGTGGTTGTAAAACCGGTCAGTGTAAAAGGTAAGACCATCGTGTCTACAGCAAGTGCTGTTAGTAAACCTGTGGTGTCCAGTGTTGTCACCAAGCCAGCTACAACTGCAGTTGTCACCCAGCAAGCTACAACTGCAGTTGTCACAAAGCCAGTACCTAGTGGAGTTGTTACTAAAACTGTTACAAGTAGTATACAAGTATCATCAGAAGCCACTAAAAAGATTCCAGATGCACCTGTTGTGCCAGTGATGAAAAAAGTTTCCCAACCTTCCAAGTACAGCCGACCCCCTATCAATGAGCCAGTGGATCCTCGAGAGCAGATGCTTAATGCGATACGCAGTTTCAAAAGACCCGCTGATGCACCCAAAGTGGAACCAATAAGGAAAGCCCAGGCTACAGAGGTCAAGCTAAACATAACGCAAGGAAAGCCAGCTCAACCACAGAAAGAAGTACCAACTACTCTTCCGCAACAAAAAGTAGTTCCTGTCTCAGTTCAGCAGCAGAAAACTGCTCCATTTTCAATTCCTCAGCAAAATGTAGTTCCTGCTACAGTGAAACAACAGACAGTAGCTGCAGTATCTGTCAAAACAAGTGAAAAACCAAAAGAACCAGAGAAAAAGGAGAAAGAAACAGTAATACTGGAGTCCAAGTCTGTTGAAGATAAGACTGTCGGGGCAGAACCAATCAAACCTATAGACAGCATGGTCACAAAAGATAAACTAAAGGTCACACAGCCTACAGCCAAAGTCACTGATGATAACGAAGAGCTGTCAGTGACACAAGGTCCTTCTCAAACAACCACAGAAGATGAAGCGGAATCAGAGGAGGACAGACCAGAGGAAAAGTTTGTAAGCTCGGTGACATTCACCCACAAACCTTCAAAACCAACAGAAATTGTGAAGCCAAAGACGAAGGTTCAGGCCCCATCACTAGCTGTGTCATCAGTTGTTGCTCCATCTCCAGCCTCTGTACCAGTGCCAACTGAGCCCAAACAAGGTAAGTTAGTTGTAGTGTACGTGTCACATGTATGTGTTGTCTTGTGAACAGTGGCGTTCATACATCTGTGATTCCTGACAAGATACAAGTAAGTACAGACATTCCTATATATTTTCAAATCTTACCATGAGCTATCTCTTAGAAAAGGATTACAAGATTAGTACGTATACCAGTGCTTGCCTTACTTGATAAAGAAATTTGAATACTATAGATTTTCAAACGTTACCAGAATCTATATCTTTAAAAAAATGTATGCACAGTACCAGTTCTTATTTGATGAGGAAATTTTAATACTAATTTAGATTCTTGATATTACTTTTAAGAGTACTATCCAAGAAATGTTAAATGTTAAATGGAAAAGAAAATTCACTTAATATTTGTTTAGCACAGGTATGAAATAGATTTTTAACACATAAAAATTTGAAAGTATGCATAGACCTGATACACTTTACAAATGTCTTATATTTGTAACAAATCTATCTTATCACAATAAAAAAACTTTACCAGGACAAATTATCACATATTGTTTTAGATCGACAGATCTTGTCACTGTCATGTTCATTATAAATCATCAACGTATCAGATTTATATTGGTAATGACTGATGACACAGCATCTTGACCTTAAGATTGTATAACAGGCTGAGATCCATTTTATTCACCATGAACACAAACAAATTACAAGTGCAGTACGTATACTCTCACATATAAATCTTCACAGAAACAACTCCAGTATTTTCTTTTTTCATCCTCACAAAATATTTGTATATTCAGTAGTACAACATTGACATTTTATCATACATGTAGATACAACATTGTTGTGTACCTGTACCAGTTTTTGAATAATTAAGTGTTGGCCTTGTTTATATTTTATGAAAGAATATTATGTGTTTCATTGTTACCATGGTATACATAACACCAGCCTTAGCAACATTTTTAAATTCAGAATTCAGAATCTGATGACAAGACATTTTATGGACTACACAATAGAAAAGAAACTCCCCTACAAACACTGCTGTTATTGTTTCTTTACATCATAGAAATTCCTCCTTTACAATAGGTATATCTATATATATCTACTGGGCTATGAAATGGTATGCTCCAGCAGACACAAAGGTTGATAAGAGTATTGTACACAGCTATGTTCTCAGCAGAATACAAATTTCATTTTTGTATGATATTGTTATCCTGTAATATTGTACAGTACTACCTAGCTTAGGTTTAACAATAGATTCAACAAAGAAGACTTGTTTATGGCGTTAAGGCTTTACACCTGTGTAGTGTACATGTACCTGTATTATACGTGTTCTGAATAGAAAGGTTAATATTATTCTTTACTTTATAGATAAATAATAATTTACTCTTAAGTGTTAAATATTGACTAGAGTGGATTATGTTTTATATGCATTCCAAAGTATACTTATAATAAAAATAAACTTTATTTATTTTACAACAATTATAAAAACAAATTATTTTAACTTATATTAATCACACTTGTTGGCCCGAATATTAGCGTTCGGGGTGTCTTATTTGGAAGAAACCGGAGTACCCGGAGAAAACCTGTGAATATACCTGTTCACGTTCACGATCAGGGAACTGAACCCTATGGCTGCCCTAGTGAAAGGCAAGTGTGTTATCCACTTTGCTACCCGACCACCCTATTTTTAAATTATAAAAAATAACAATTATACTAACCTTGTATACCACAGTACTGTACATATAGGTTTAATTACCTTTTATTTTCATATATATCTAGGTCTTCAGTGATGATGTTAGTCTAGAGTGTTACTTTATTACAAATTTTCTCATGTTTTGTTTGCTAATTAGGGCCCTGCATTCAGAGAATATGGTTTAGAGAAGTCTGTTGCAATGTCCTTTGGAGATATTTCCCTTGATTTAATACCTAAATCACATATATATTTAACCAATACAGTACCGACTATATAGTACTAACTGGTCGATTTATTACCTTAGTAATGCGTCACCTGCTTTTTTAGGTAAATCAGTAGAAAATGAACTTCAATGATAAAGTGTCATACAGATAGAGGAAAACAGATTTTCTTTTAGGGATTACAATATCTTCTCAGACAACAGAAATGAATTGCAGAAAACAGTAGTGAGATATTCTGAAGGAAAAAACAGTTAAAAAAGAAAAATGAAAATATTGGCAATAAAAGAGTATGATAAAGAGCTACTGAGGTGCAAGAAAAGGAACATTTAAAGTGGATTATTGTCGAATGACTGAGGACTGTGTTCCGGGTCATCAAGGGAAAGTATTTTGTACTATGGTGTAGATTGTCTGACAGGTCGACACACCAGGCCATCTCCAAGTTTACTTCCCTACAGGTGCAGAGACACAAGAATACTTAATTAGTCAATCCTGACATGATGTGTAAAAAAATGCTGGTAAATAAAGTTGTACATTAAGTTGTTGGTTTTCTATATACTTAATGTACCAGGATGATTTTTTATGTATATGCAGGTGCAGTAGTAGCCAATTGTCTCCTTGTAAAACAATACATATTGTATATGTCATGTTTAATGGGATACTGGTAAGGGTGAGAAACATTGTCTTACAAGGGTCCGCGGTGGACAAGTGGTTAAGGCATTTGACATTCTGCTACCACTAGCCCTCCACCATTGGGTCGCGGGCTGGGTAGTCGCCAGGTACTGGCCGTAGGTCAGTGTTTTTTCTTCGGGAAGTCCGACTTTCCTCCGCCACCAAAACCTGGCACGTCCTTAAATGACCATAGCTGTTAATAGGACGTAAAACAAAAAACAAACCAAACCATTCATTGTCTTACAGGTGAAAGGTGTATAACTCTGATCCACATGACCAGATACCCATTGTTTTTACTTGACTTGTTTGCTATGCCAGATACAATATATCATGTAGACAGAATTACGCATCCATATCTACGTAACAATCTACAGCAGAACTATTGATTTGTCATTGTGATTGCGACCTTAAGAGTTATAGCGTGCATCACCTGCTGAGGAGGACCTACTGCAGTTACTTATATTCACACAGACTAAAATTTACAGTTAAGGTTGAAGGGTATACCGGCATTTGGTGATTCTGTGTCTAAAAATAGAACAAACATGCAAATACGTTGACTGTGTAATGTTTACCTTTGATTCACTATGGTGTGTTTACGTTTTTTGAATACAGGAACAACAACAATCACCCGATCTAACTTCTTTGGACATAGTTTATAGTAATAACATATACTACCAACAGTTCTTGTACAGGCTGCAACGTGACGTATTGGGTCTGAAAACATGAGAAATAAGACATGACTTGTTCAGTGTTTTGAAATATGTCTGTTCTTCAACCTACATGGCAGGTGCTTATGCAATATTTTTTCCTAAATCTCCAACATATAGACACATTCAAACCTGTATTGAGAGACCACATTAGGAAAATCCACAAAGTGGTCTCTTTTGCAGGTGGTTTTTTAATACATGTTCAGTTCAAAATGAAATTACTACAATGGGAAACACTTAAACAGTGAGACAGGTGGTCTCTAATTCTGAAGGTGGTCACATGAACAGGTTAAGTGTACAAAGTTATTTGATATAAAGTTTTGCTTTCTACACAAACAATGTACTAGTACATATTAAACCAGTCGCAACATTTCAATACGTAAATTGTTTGTGCAGAAAGTAAAACTTTGATATCACATATTTCCAAACTGATGAATCTTATTGAAGATATCAAGTTATTTGGTCCAAAAACCAGAGAACATGAATTGTACCTAAATGACATGTTGTACATAGGTGATGCTTCATTAGTTCCTAAATCTCCTACTAGTATATACAATATCAATTTATTAAACAACAGTTAATTTAACTCAAATTGATTACTTAGAAACATATAATCATTGATTAAACAAAGAAAAATATACAAATAGATATACATGTATATGGTAATGAAAAATAAAAAAATATACATAAATCTTGCAATCCTTCGATTATGAAACCTGTGCCCTATAACAGTCTGAGCTACGATATCTGGCGATAAAAATGTTATAATTTTGTAGTACTGTGTTTTATCTACCTTAGTTTTACAGCGTTAGTAAAAAAAACAAGTGTTAATATTGGTAAAGTCTCAGGTGAAAAAAGCCAATGAGCTCCACACCTTTCTTGGTGATTACAGCACATTCAAAATTTACTGAAATTAATTACAATGTTTTGTGTAATAAAAATTTGACAATTTGTTTTTTATTTTAGTAAAAATGTCTTGGTTATGTTGACTTGTATATACATAATTTGAGGTTTGAGGAAATTTCTAGAAATCAAATTTGAAGTATAGCAGATATTAATTAATTTAAAGGCCATTTGCAGAGCTGATTATATGCAATAGTCTTATATTTGTTGCCTTTATGACTTTTCTTTTTCTTCTTCTTGCAATGCATTAAGTACTACGCAATTAATAAATGGGTTGTCAGCAAAACTGGTACATGTATCAGGTATTTTTGGTTCAAGTGAAGGGAGATAACTCTGTAGACACTATACAAGAAAGGACCATGTGCCCGAACACCATTTACAGTTACCGTAGTAAATATCACTATTGCAGTGTAAATAATAAGTTAATGTTCGCGAAAGTAAAACCAGAATACAATATTATTTACTTTCGAATTGACATTTCTAACTAGTTTTATATCCTGATATTTATGACAAAGATAGTGAGATCAGTAAAGGAATTACCATGTTCTGATCTTTATACTGATTTAGAATTAACCTGTATATTAATTCCATGTATTATGTTCATGACAAGGTACGCAACTCGAATGAATACAAGCTAACTATGGAATTTAAATTGGTCCCACCCCTGTGCCATGTTAACAATATGATATGGGGTAAAGTTATATTCTAATGGAATGTAAATAGCATGTTTATTGTTTAAGGAAGTTGAGTGGGGACAGGAAAATAATACCTCTCCTTTCTCTAAAGATTATACTGTATTTATTTTCATCTAAATTACATTTTTTCCTGTGTTTAAAAGTTAAATAATGAGAGAGGAATCAGACGTTGAGTTTCTGGCCAAGACACCCACATTGACATACCTGTTTCTTATCAGGGAATATTTATAACCTACCTATACATTGCTTTACATACAACCCCCACAATCTCAGGTGAGCTGTTGACTCGGCATATGGCCCTGTATAGATTACGTATCATTCACAAAATCCACCTATAAAAACTTGGCTTTAGATTTAAATGAACAATACGGCCTCATCAGAACAAGCGTAGGGCAGGTTTTAACTGTCACCTTTATTGTGTAGGTAGCAGTACCTGATAGCAGGTGTATTGTTATATATATGCTTATTCAGTTACATGTATGTTCGATCACTTTGATCAAATGTATGGCTGGTAGTATTTATATTGAGAGCAGACGACAGTTGTATGCCCCCTATGTACATGGTCATGCCCCAATGAGTACCAGATCTGGTTAAACCAGACCAGCATACATGTGTCCTATCATGCGGCACCGCTCCCCTTGCCAAAACTCTGATAAGTCCTACATACAATCTGTCTGATATTTACAGCTTGTATTTTATGGCACGAGTTTTTATGACGCAGCTCATCAATCCCACATAATACAAGCTGTGTTATTACATTTTTAAAAGACTGGATTCTGGGATGTGTGATGTCATTTCCTGCTTGTTTGATTGTAAATAGAACTATACTGCTGCCTACAGACAGGGTATTGATCCTACTGGACACACAGTGTTACACACGGCCATTATCCTGTCTACAAGTCACTGTTCCTGGTACATAACACACAGTTGGCTGTCTGGGTCAAGGCCTGGAGTTTCATGCCTGTAGAAGTAGATGGAGCCAAGGTTGTGACTGTAGGGTTAATTTTTGTGACTGTTTATATAAGAGAGAATGTTTACCATCGAAATGTTCATTATTGATTTCTAAGTAGTAGTGCTTGTATGTGTATACGAGAGGAGTGGACTGTTGTTCTAAACACAGAACTTTACTTTTAGTAGAGAAAGTAAAATTACTGTGGCAGATTTACCAATTTTTCAAAATATACCAACTGGACAGAGGAAAACCACAAGCCATGAGTGATAACCCAGACCTCCTGAGTCCTACAGAGGATAATTCTCACCTGTCAGAGGGGACCAGGCTGCGCATGAAGCGTGTGAGAGATCTGGAGCAGCAGAGACTGCAGCGCGTTTTGGCCAGGAGTATTGCCACTGCTCAACAGCCCCCAGCAGTGGCTCAACAGGATGCAGCAGCTGAACCACGATCTCCGATCATAAGTTCACCAAATTTAGGGTCAAGGTCACCTAACTCAACAAGGTCAACTGGCCGTGCTCGTTATGTGACCGTTGGACGTATGTCCAGAAGTATAAGTGAAGACCGCACTGTTGTTCCAAGGCTACCACTCAAAGATGAAGGTTCCGAAAATATTGGTCAGGCTGAAGATGACGGGACCAGTAGCAGGAATGAGGCCTCTGTTGGAGCAACAGGTGAGGTTACTGTGTTTATGAAAAAACTTGATGAACTGGCCTCCTCTGCAGAAAATGATGATATAAAACAAAGATATCTCAGATTGAAAGAACTAGAAGAGACGAGACTTCATGGCAGAGAGGGAGGTGATAGGCCTGTAAGAGGCAGTGTCACACTGGGTCGTAGTGCCTCTGTCAATGAACATGTGTCCGCTGGGCGACTCGCTCGCAGAAATTCTGATCAGGTACGTCAAAGACACGGTTCTCCAGTAATGTCCAGGAGACTTATTCCAAACAGCGATGATTCTTCAGAGACACAGTTGTCACGAGCATCATCAGCCAGCAACCTGTATACACCTGACCTTTCATCACTAGACAAGTTCTTCAGTGGCAGGCGGCAGGAAAGTCTTAAAAGAATAGAAGAATTAGCTAAATGTAGGCAACATGGATCAAGAAGCATGTCCATGGATATGGAACCAGGAGAAAGGTCAACAAGAGACAGATTTCTTGAATCCGTTACTGCACACCCTTCAATACCTCGTATTGAACCGATATCATCCATCTTGTATACACGCACACACGAACCACCTATACAGTACCCTAGCATTGATGAACGACTTGAAACCATTTCTCCAAGGTACGGAAGTGATACATCTTTGAATAGAATCGGTATTGGATCTTTTGATGACTTTCGCAGGGGAAGTGGGGACAATTTAACACAGACCACCCAAGTGTATCATGACCCATTGGTGCCTGGTTTGACCTATGTAGATGAGGAAGGTCATACTCAGTGGATCACACCTTCAAGTCCTTTGTACAAACAGATGAAGGCAATGGATAAGCCGCCTTCTATTGATCTGAAACTTGAAGAACGTAAAAAGCGCAGTCTTCTAGCACGGGAAGGGTTAGAAGATCACTTCCTCACTGAATGTTTTGATCCAGATATTAGTTTTGAGGAACGTATAGGTTTGATTCGGGAGAAGTTGTATGGCTCTAAGGTTCTGATACCTTCTGACAAACGTCGAGCAATGGCAGACCGAGGTTCTCCTGATGGTGCCTCAAATGTAGTGAAAGACTGTAATGCTTCTGGAGGGACAGATAACGAAGGACATCGTTAAATAATGCTTCTGGCGGGACAGATAACGAAGGACATCGTTAAAACACAATTATAAATGTAACTTGCTTCAAATGCTTTGACATGGTTATGCTTTTTGTAATTTTGATGGAAAATGTAACTTTAAAATTTAAAAGCTAATTAAATATATGCAATAATTGTGTTTTACATATGGATAGACAAGTGTACTCATTTTCTCAATGTCAGTGTTTGTCCTGATCATATAAGGTCCCATGTTCACAAATGGTATTTTATAACTTGCCATATACAGTGGGAAATGGCTTTGCTGACGGTATAACAACAGTGTGTTGCAGTAAAGCCTGGGGTAAAGACTTATGAGGTCATTGCAGTAAAGCCTGGGGTAAAGACTTATGAGGTCATTGCAGTAAAGCCTGGGGTAAAGACTTATGAGGTCATTGCAGTAAAGCCTGGGGTAAAGACTTATGAGGTCATCAATTAATGTCCAACATTAAGTACATGTATTGGTATTACATGATGTAAATCATAAATGCTATTATTTAGTTTTACATAATACAACTGTTTGATTTTGTAGCTTCCATGAAAAATATCTTGTTGAAGTAATGTCATAAAAGTTACTCATTATCAAACTGGTTATATCCACAATGAGCATTGAACTATATCTATACCACCAGATGAACAAATGTTTGGTAAATATATACAAATCATGTTTAATAACTATATAAAAATCATTTAAATATAAAAAAAATCAGTTGTGTTCATAATGTGCTGCTATTTCTTACTGTGTATATACAAGTGACCTACTAGATGTGCTAGTGACCTACTAGATGTGAGAGTGACATACTAGATGTTATAGTGACCTGCTAGATGTGAGAGTGACATACTAGATATTCTAGTGACCTACTAACTGTTAGAGTTCCTTATTAGATATTCTAGTGACCTACTAGATGTGAGAGTGACATACTAGATATTATAGTGACTTACTAGATATTCTAGTGACCTACTAACTGTAAGAGTGACTTACTAGATATTCTAGTGACCTACTAGATATTCTAGTGACCTACTAAATGTAAGAGTGACCTACTAGATGTCCTAGTGACCTAATAAATGTGCAAGTGACCTATTTGATGTGAGAGTGACATACTAAATGTGAGTGACCTTCTAGATGTGAGAGTGACCTACTAAATATGTGAGTGACCTACTAGATGTGAGAGTGACATACTAACTGTGTGAGTGACGTACTAGATGTTCTAGTGACCTACTAGATGTTCTAGTGACCTACTAGATGTGCACGTGACCTACTAGATGTTATAGTGACATATTAAATATGTGAGTGACCTACTAGATGTGAGAGTGACATACTAGATGTTCTAATGACATCTTAAATATGTGAGTGACCTACTAGATATGCGAGTGACATACTAGATGTTCTAGTGACCTACTAACTGTTAGAGTGACTTACTAGATATTCTAGTGACCTACTAGATGTGAGAGTGACCTACTAAATGTAAGAGTGACCTACTAACTGTTAGAGTGACTTACTAGATATTATAGTGACCTACTAACTGTTAGAGTGACTTACTAGATATTCTAGTGACCTACTAGATATTCTAGTGACCTACTAAATGTAAGAGTGACCTACTAGATGTCCTAGTGACCTAATAAATGTGCAAGTGACCTTCTAGATGTGAGAGTGACATACTAAATGTGTGAGTGACATACTAGATGTTCTAGTGACCTACTAGATATGCGAGTGACCTACTAGATGTTCTGGTGACCTACTAGATGTACACGTGACCTACTTGATGTTATAGTGACATATTAAATATGTGAGTGACCTACTAGATGTGAGAGTGACATACTAGATGTTCTAGTGACATATTAAATATGTGAGTGACCTACTAGATATGCGAGTGACATACTAGATGTTCTAGTGACCTACTAGATATAAGGAAACCTACTAGATGTTCTAGTGACCGATTAGATGTGCCAGTGACCTACTAAATATGTGAGTGACCTACTAGATGTTCTAGTGGCATACACGATATGTGAGTGACCTACTAGATGTTCTAGTGGCATACACGATGTGTGAGTGACCTACTAGATGTTCTAGTGGCATACACGATGTGTGAGTGACCTACTAGATGTTCTAGTGGCATACACGATGTGTGGGTGACCTACTAGATGTGTGAGTGACCTACTAGATGTGTGAGTGACCTACTAGATGTGCTAGTGGCATACACGATGTGTGAGTGACCTACTAGATGTGCTAGTGGCATACAAGATGTGTGAGTGACCTACTAAATATGTGAGTGACCTACTAGATGTGAGAGTGACATATTAAATGTGTTAGTGACATACTAAATGTTTGAGTGACCTACTAGATGTTCTCGTGGCATACACGATGTGTGAGTGACCTACTTGATGTGTGAGTGACCTACTAGATGTGTGAGTGACCTATTAGATGTGCAAATGGGCTTCTGTAGGTGACAATGTTATGTTTTACTGATTTTAAATGCATACAATATATATGATAACGATCCTTCAACATCTGGGATAGTGTTAAGAGTCATTGTCCTGAGAAAAGGTTAACATCCTTACCTTAAGAAGCACCCTAGGCACTAAGCAATTTGTGAAAGTTAGACTGGTCCCAGGATCACAGGTCCATATTATGAAATCAACCTGTACATGTATGTATTCTGTTCTTAATTGTAAGAAATTTCTGAAATTTTGTCACATTACCCACCTATCCTTCATTGTAAGTGTTGTGTACTTGTGTGTAAAACAGCTCAATAAAAAACAATTATGACATAGGCTTAAATCTGTGTTCATGTTGACAATGTTGCTGTAAATTTGTAAATCACACTACAGAAGGAGAGCCTCTCGAGAGTACAGCTTAATGAAAAGGGTCCTCTCTGAATATCCACCAAACTAGAGGTACCATTACCTGTGCAGAAATAAATGTCTCCATGTAATCCCTGAACACTGCTGTATAATTGATAGCCATCTTGGTTCACATCCCAGGGCCTAAGTTTTGTAAATGATCATTGATGTCCTTTGTAATTGTTTCAATGCATTCTGACTCCCTAATACTTGTAGGGATTTCATTAATTGAATACCAGAAATGTTTGACTGACTCTGTCTGGAATCCCTTAGGGACCTGTCCTGTTGTTGACGCATTTAAAGAGTTCAATGGGCTGTTCTTACCTAAGGGGCTATGCTCTGCATTTGTGTAAACCTTTAAAATAGGGTAGGGCCGCTGCTGGATGACACACCCTTGGGGTTTAACTCATTCACCCCTGAAGACACATTTGAACTCTTCCAATTCAAAGGTTGGAATAGTTCATTATGAAGATCCTGGTGTGAATGAGTTGAGGAGGTGTGACATTGTATACAGGTATCTACAATAGATGTTCTTCAGTGTATGCCAGCAATTATACATTTGGTCAAACAAGGCAAGGGAGACTTTTATTGTCTATAGCATGCCACATTTGAAATAGAAAACAATACACATCTACATTAATCAACCTTTATCAAAACAGATAGGGCATTTTGATTGATGATATTTAATATGAGATATATTAAAAGACCTGTTTTAATTGACAGCTTATGACATATATATTGTGTGTTAGTCAAGTTAATCATAAAGCTGTACCTTACCAGTGTATGTTTCTGTAATTGAATCACAACTTTCAGTTCAGAGCTTACATACTTATCGTAATCTAGTTCTGGGTTCATGTACAAGTAAGTTTGTCAAGCTAAGTTACAGGCTGGGATCTGAGTATTGCTCTAGTCCTGGGTTCATGTACAAGGAAGTTTGTCAAGCTAAGTTACAGGCTGGGATCTGAGTATTGCTCTAGTCCTGGGTTCATGTACAAGTCAGTTTGTCAAGCTAAGTTACAGGCTGGGATCAGTATTGCTCTAGCTCTGGGGTCATGTACAAGTAAGTTTTTCGAGCTAAGTTACAGGATGGCATCTGAGTCTTGCTCTAGTTCTGGGTTCATGTACAAGTAAGATTGTCAAGCTAAGTTACAGGCTGGTATCTGAGTATTTCTCTAGTCCTGGGTTCATGTACAAGTAACTTTGTCAAGCTAAGTTACAGGCTGGTATCTTAGTATTGCTCTAGTTCTGGGTTCATGTCCAAGTAAGTTTGTCAAGCTAAGTTACAGGCTGGGATCTGAGTATTGCTCTAGTTCTGGGTTCACGTACAAGTAAGTTTGTCAAGCTAAGTTACAGGCTGGTATCAGTATTGCTCTAGTTCTGGGTTCATGTACAAGTAAGTTTTTCGAGCTAAGTTACAGGCTGGTATCTGAGTATTGCTCTAGTTCTGGGTTCATGTACAAGTAAGTTTGTCAAGATAAGTTACAGGCTGGTATCAGTATTGTTCTAGTTCTGGGTTCATGTACAAGTAAGTTTGTCACGCTAAGTTACAGGCTGGTATCTGAATATTGCTCTAGTCCTGGGTTCATGTACAAGTAAGTTTGTCAAGCTAAGTTACAGGCTGGTATCAGTATTGTTCTAGTTCTGGGTTCATGTACAAGTAAGGTTTTCGAGCTAAGTTACAGGCTGGAATCTGAGTATTGCTCTAGTCCTGGGTTCATGTACAAGTAAGTTTGTCATGCTAAGTTACAGGCTGGTATCTGAGTATTACTCTAGTTACATGTTTCCTTAGATTCTTTGTGAAGTCTTACAACTCCTGGCTTTCCCTAATAACTATATTATAATAGGTACAGGTCACGTTTTTAGGTCACCTGAGCTTTAGCTCAAGTGACCATTGCTGTCCATCTTCAACCGTCGTCCGTTAACATTTTATATTTTCAACTTAAACTGAAATACTGTTGAAGGTATTTCATTGATACTTCATAGGAATGTTACTGACATCTCCCTGACCAAGTGTTGTTGTTTTTCCGGTCGATCAAAAATTCCAATATGGCCGTCACGGCCGCCATTTTGAACAACTATTTCAAACTTAAAGTCCAGTTCTACTGGGCCGATTGAACTGAAAAGTAATAGGAATGATCGACTCATGGTCGTGACAAAGTGTTGTTATTTGTCGGGTCGATCAGAAATCCAATATGGCCACCATGGCCGCCATTTTGAAAGTTATTATTTCAAAATTAAAGTCCAGTTCTACTGGGCCGATTGAACTGAAACTTATAATGGTAGGAATGATCAACTCATGGTTCTGTCTAACTTAATTAACTTAACGTTATACTTAACTATTTTTTACACAAATTGGTAGGGATGATTGACATCATTATCTCCACTTCATGTTTCAACAACAAAATAAATAATTTAGGACTCGGGTGACCGTTATGGCCCATGCCTATGGGCATCTTGTCTGTTTTGCTATCAATGAAAATATGCTCCATGGTGTTCCTTGTCCGCAGTTGGAAAATAATATTTCATATATAAAGCAAGGTGACATAGTAGAAAAACAAACAAATACATTTTAAAATGAAAGATCTTCAGTTATTATAATAATTTGACGGTGAAAAATACTTTTTTCCAGTTCCTTCTGGCTGCTATCCAAAGCACTAAATAGATCATGAAATTTTTCAACTCATAATATTGCAGTTGGAGTTATTCCCCTAGTGATATGATATGTCAGTCCAAGCAGAAAAACGCCAATGTATGGCTTTGCGTAACTTATAATTGGAGGTAGAACGTTTTTGAATGCTTGAGATTTATCGCTTATGTAGACTACCGCGAGACAATATTATTGTTCCAGAACATCTCAGCGTGACATTTTGTCTCACCCTTTTTCAGAGGATATTATGCACACGGCTCCAGAATAAAGTGAAATATAAGTGTTACAAAAATAGATGAATTACCATGATGCATAAATTAATAATGTAATGTTGTTTGTTTTTGCATATTTTTTAAAACAAAATTCTACCTAATAATAGCACAATTACCAATTACTCTGGCAAAGATCGAGTTATTGTATCATAAATTGTGATGGAATCCAAGGCTGACACTGAAAGTTGTTGTCTTTAACCTTGATGAATGTTGAATATCTGCAAGACCATGGCACTCAGGTCACAGATCATCTTTGATATCCAGGGGTTAAAATGCTCACTTTCACTCTCTAAACCCCTGGAATATGTTGTAGTAAAATTGAAGGCTCAGAGTGCGCCACCTGCTTTAATTGTTGATGAGACAATTAAGAAGACTAATTCGATGATCTTTGATGTACATAAAAAAAATATTCTGGCGGTAAAAATTTAATTGACAGCCTTTGAAGTCGGCGTCACTCCTTTGTGATCTTCAAAGGACAGGTATCAGCCTAGCGATTGGTCAGGTGTTTTTTTTACCTGAGACCTATATCATTTGCTATGACATACTCCAGGGGTGCAGAGAGCACTTAGGTGAGCGTAACCCCTGGATTATATATATCGAGAATGCAAGGTGATATAGCTACAATGTAATATTCAACAAGATATAAATATATATAGGTCCAGTTTTCAAATTTTGACCTGTTCAAAGAGAGGCTCTTAACAGTTTTGCATTGAATGCATTACTTACACTGAGTTGGCACTTATCTTAATTATCCTTATGAAAGATTTAAAAAGGGACCAGTCTGTCGTGACCTTAAATTTCATGACAATTAATACACACTACATCAATTTTTTTGTTTATTTACCAGATAATATTAAGATAGGAATTTCAGTTAAAATTTTGAATTTAAACGGTTAATCGGAAACTAGTTTAATTGTTACTTTAAATTTCCGTTTAGGTAAAAAAAAATCCATCAGTTCTCAAATTATTATTTATGGATTATTATTATTTACTCACACAACTGTCCGACATTACTCACATTAGACCTATCGAAATTGGAATTTATAGATCTCTCATTAATTAACATACTGGAACATTTTGAGGCAATTAGTAAAAAATAAAATTTCAACCTTGTGCTTTTAAAACATGTGCACATTATAAGAAAACCTTTAGACACATCTAAATCTATAAATGAAAATAAATCATGTTATTGCCTATAAAAAACATTTACCATTTTTTATTCAAAGTTAAAAGAGCTAACAGCAGAGGAAATGTAAACATTCTTAGCATACGTTGCCAACTCTCCCTATTTAGGAGGGACACTCGATTTTGGACCCTTTATGATTTCTTCTAAAACTGTTAAACAGCTCAAAAAATGTCATTAAAAACAGTTATTTTTCCCAGGGATTTATAAACACAAATTTTATTTATGCTTTTAATTCTGAGCACGTGTAGTCTCCCCCGTCATCCATAGAAATTTCAAAATGTTGGCAATTATGTCCTAAATCGATGTAAATAGAATGCGGACTTGTGCAAGTCTCCACCTGGAACCGCAATTCAAACTTGTTCGTATTTCTGGTGTAAGAATATAAAAATATCTGATATTGTGGGGATACGTGAACAGTTAAATAATGTCCTCAAACAGATGTTAGTTTGATATATTGATAAGGTTTTATTTTTCTCCGAAACACATTTTGGTTATTCTCAATTTCTGACACAAAGAGTGACGCCTGTGATCACGTGGTCATATACAAACTGAAACGATAATTTGCCGCTTTGGCAATGGCGGATATCCTGCATAAATTACATTTTTTATCGGGGTAAAAACAGGATTAAAAATAGATTTTTTGACTACGTCCGTGCTTAATTTTAATGTAGGGACAATAGTCGTCTGGATCAGCTCTTTGTTAGTCGAAACAAAGAAATCATATATGAGAACACGTGTTTTTAAACAAAAGACAATCAAGAAGCATATCGATGAGATCCGCAAGACGTTTGACAGAAATGTCACTTTCATGTATGTGTATAACGTGTGTTATAAGCATCACGCGTACATTGATGATATTTTCCACTGAGTCGCTTTCTGCGCACATCCGGAAGTCATCAGCGGCGTGGGTAGACATTTTTACCGGGCCACGAGTTTCACACACAAAGAATTCTACTTTTCTCCGTTGATAAGAACCTAAAAGAACCTGCAAAAATGTACGAAATGGGTGGCCAAGAATCGGACGACAAGTTCAGGAAGCTGTTTATCGGTGGATTGAGCTTCGAGACCACAGATGAATCTCTAAGAGCACATTTTGAAAATTACGGAACCGTGAACGATTGTGTGGTCATAAAAGACCGCGAGACCAAACGACCAAAAGGATTCGGATTCATCACTTATGAAACACAAGAAGGTGCCGACGCTGCACAGAAAAATCGTCCTCACAAACTGGATGGCAGGCAAGTGGAAACCAAACGTGCTATGCCCAGGGAAAGTGGGGAATCGTCTCTATCTGTAGCAAAAATGTTTGTTGGCGGGCTAAACGAGGACACCTCGGAAGATGATCTCAAGGCTTCATTTAGTGAATTTGGAACAATTGCTTCTGTTGATTTAATCAAAGACAAAGCTACTGGTAAAAACAAGAAATTTTGTTTTGTCTCGTTTGAGGACTCTGATGCCGTTGATCAGTGTGTGTTGAGAAAGAAATTTAGGGTGGCCGGAAAAGAAGTGGAGGTTAAGAAAGCTCTCCCCAAGGACGGCGGAGAGGGTGGACGAGGAGGTGGTCGCGGAGGAATGGGTGGACGAGGGAGAGGACGTGGAGGCGGTGGTTATAATCAAGGGAGTGGCTACAACCAGGGAAGTGGATTCGGTCAAGGAAGTTATGACAGCTACAGCCAGGGAAGTGGTGGTGGTGGCAGCTATGGTGGTGGCTACAACCAGCAGTATAGCAACACTGGTGGTGGATATGACAGCTATGGTGGTGGTTACAACCAGCAAAGCTTTGGCCAAGGATATGGAGAGAACTACGGAGGTGGAGCCATGAACAGAAGTGGAGGAGGTGGTGGTGGCTCCGGACACAGGGCAGCACCATATAACAGCGGTAATTACAGCCGAGGAGGTGGTGGTGGAGGCGGCGGCGGATACAGCAGGCGATGAACGATTCAGACAACTCATCATTAGAACTCTTTCATTAGATCATTTTGTATTGTTCGTGAAGAGAAAAGACTCTTTGTGAGTGATGTGACATACATATGTCATGTCCATGAATTGTGTTGTTTAATTTTCTCAACAAACACGATACAGAACTCAAAACCTCAGAACTGTTTAAGATACTACCACTGGTACACAAGACTGGAACTGGTTTCATTGGAATGAAACAAAATGGAAGCATGATGTGCCAGTATTTTATTAAAACAAACTCCCAGAAGTTTGGGCATTTGTTACCATTTGCACAAGTGACTCGTATCATAGTGTGAAAAAAAACTGACTGTAAAGAATAAAATAATCATTTCATTTCACGTAATCAAATCATGAATCATATTCAGTTTACTGTAAAATTATAAAACTAGACATTAAATTAACCAACATTCTGGAAATCTATTTGTGTCTGATAAAAAATCTTGTGTCTAGCAAATTAAAAGTTTGTCATTTCATAATTGTACTTTCTGAGAATATTTTGTTTGTCTTGAAAGTTGTGGTCTGCAAACAGAAAATAAGAATTTTCATTAAAGCAGTGATTGAAAAGAGCATGTTTTAAGCAAATTTTGTAATATATATTTTGAAGTTTTAATCAATTATTAACAAAATGTGCTCTGGTCAATCTGTGCAAACTGAAAATCTATGCCAAAATAGGATAAATAGTTTGGCAGAGGTGTGGGATCCAATGGAGGAAAAGATGAAAATTCCTTCTCCGTTGTACCAATGAAAGGATCCATCCAAACTTGTTCTACAGCAAAAATTCAATAAAATGAGCATGTGGTCTTCTCGGGGCAGAGGGATGGGGCTTCAAGAAGAAATAGTTTGTTTTTTAAAATCTTTCTATGTGTAAATATAGGGATTGTCAACAAATTAGTTATAGATCATCTGAAGGCAAAAGGTACTCATTTTTTTTTTATAGATGGAGGGTGTAGGCCTTTTGGGCCCGATATTGTAAATAAAAAGACCTATTTCTAAAATCTTATTATTCAATAAAGAAAGGGTTTAACCCAATTTTTGTAAAGAGAAAATTCTGGCAAAAACAATTTTGTATAAATGGAGGTCGGGGTCCAATAGGGGGAAAAACTAATTGTTAAAAGTCTCTTTCCATCCCAATAGAGGGATTTTAACCAAATTTGGTGTAGAGCATCCTTTGGCAAGTGGGACTCCGGTTTATATACACCGTATGTATGGCCAAAAAGGGATAAATCAATAAACTACTTTTGAATTGATTGATTTTATCCCCACCCTAGAACCAAATATACAATTGCTAGGTATGAAAAGAAAACATTAACGCTGTACCAGGTTTGGCACAGTGGTCCAGAAACTCCAACCCCATTTCTGGAGACTCGACTCCCTGGGTCATGACATGGAAACCATAAAGATGCCATAACCATTTACAAAAATCTGGGACATGAAGAATGCACTCATGTTCTTGGTGTCTTGACCAGCCAAACAGATTTACATTTACAATTGGTGACCTCTTGCCATCCGTATGTCTGTCGTCGTGCATTGACTTGGTAGGAATTTTGATTAATTTGGCTATGTTACCCTCTATCCACAAGATCTTGGACACGTTCGAAAATGGTCGCAAAAAACGATAATTGGCAACGTTTTGGGACTTTGAAATTTGAATTACTACGGGGCTTGAGCTTGTCGTGAGTGCAGAGTAAATCTTGATTGATTCACTTCACTATGAGACTTAATATCTACAGTAATCGACAGATTTATGAGTTTTAGAAATTTTAATTACTATTTGAGCCTGTGGGATTTTGGCTTGTGAGCATAGTAACCGGAGTAAATCTGAATGAACTTTTAGCATGAATTTTGCTATGCTACTTAATATCAATAAAATCTTCAAGGAGTTAGAAAATGATCCCGATCGGACGTTAACTGGCAGAGTTGATGGACTTTGAAATGTTCATTACTATACGAGCCTATGTGACTTCAGCTTTAGTGCATGATAACTCTACAGCAGTTATTAATGGATTTTGATTAGGTCATGTGAGCTACATTTATAATTACTATCCTTCGTCATAAATTGTGTTTCTAACTTGGTACAAATGTTCCTTATGAGGTTCCAAACAAGTGTCCTTACTTTTTGTGCCGATCAGAAAATCGAAGATGGTCACAATTTTTTACCCCTCTAAAAGAATTAAATCGATTGCCTTCTAACTAAATAAAAGTATTCCTTGTGAGGTTTCAACCAAGTTGGTAACTTTTTGTGCTGATTGTAAAATGTAGGATTCCAGATTGCCTCCCTTGCCTGTGATTGGCTAGGACATTTACAAATTCATCTGTATATAATCCTTTTAACGTATCGTCTAATTCATCTATACAGAATGTGTATGCGTTGTCTCCAGGTTGGTATCATTGTAGGCCCTCTCTCCAAAGTAACTAGGTGCCAATTTCAAAAAAAAAACATGCCACCATTTGAGTACTTCAGAACTTTCTCGGGTGACTGTTTAGGCACATGGTTATCTTGGGAGTCCTTGTCCTCCTTTGATAAAATGGTATGATACTCTACAGGTTTTAGATTGAAAATAAAATACCAGGTGAGCTATTCAGGCCCTTGGACCTCTTGCTTTTTATTTAGTTCTAATTTTTGTTACACTTGTTTATAAGTGCTTTAATTTTTGCACTTTTGACTGAAAATTGAATTCAAACGGATCATGTGCAGGAACATAATTTTTGTTATAGAAAAGAGACATGACACTATATAAAGTGTCAATGGTCAACTGTTAGGTAAACAACACCATTAAGATGGATTAGGTACTGAAATCATAGATCTATGGAAAGTCCATGTTACGTGATAAAAACAGCAGCGCAATATCTGAGCCTTTCAGCAAGAATTAAACATTGAACAGTACCACACTGTCGACCAACAGTAAATCTGGTTTCTGGCATAATGCATACATGTTACTTTAAATTTATAAAAAAAAACTCACAAGCAAGAATTATTAGTATCATAATATATAGATCTAATGAGATATTTCTGTGTTCACAGTTGTATTTTGATAAAAAGAAATGGATTTAAATACAGTATGCATGCAAGAGGGTATCGCAGAGAATTTCAAACTGTACAAAGGATATATGCAGTAGGAAAAAATTTAAATAAGTCACTCATTTATAACGATGATTGTTGTTTGGATGATGGTATTGATTCAGAATAAATACCAGTACGGAGAACTGAACTAGTTTTCTGTAAAAGTTAGGTGAACAAAGTGAGTATTTACCGTCTCTCCACGGCTGGAAAGACATTTCACCGACAGTTACCACTAAAATGTATGGTTGCACAGTTAATGATTTCTTCAATTCTGGACAGGAACACCAAGAAAATATTGTCTCTTGTCAATTTCTTGTTCTTGAGGAGTTTCAAGCTATATTTTCATGAAGAAATTTGTAACTAGGTTATAAAAAAAACTTGCTTCACTAATTTTAACTTTAAACAACACTTCAAAATAACTATTGGATATATGATACAATCTTTTTTCAAACATCTTGTATGTCTCTTGATTGTATATTGCGTGTGAAGACTAATATGACTTGCTGAATATTAAAGCATATGAAGACATTGAAAGTGGGAAAGAGTATACATGAACTGCATATATACTGAATGATCTTCAATAAAGTGGTCAAGGACTGACCTGTAATGTCACAAACATTTCTCTTTTTAGCTCCCCTGGCCTAAAGGGCAAAACGAGCTTATGCTATGGTGCGTCGTCAGTCCTGCGTCAACTTTTTACTTTAAACAACTTCTTCTTAATAACCAAGATGCCTATGATGATGGTATTTGGCCAGTAGCATGCTAGGTGGAAGGGCTACTGAGTTTTTCAAATGAATAAACTTTGCCCATATTCAAGGTCACAGAGGTCAAATTTGTTGAACTCTTCAAATGACCTCTTCTGAATAACAAAAACTTCCAGGGTGATAGTTTGTTCATGTCAATGACCTTGACACACTTTCAAGGTAACATCTGGTCAATTGTGCATAAATAATTAAAAGTCATCTTCCCAATGAACAAATAGTTTAGGGTGGTATTACTTGACAATTTGCATTCTAGGATGAAGGGCTATACAGTTTGTTCAACTTAATGTCCATGTTTGACTTTCGATGTCACAGTGGTCAAATAAGTATTCCTTGCTTAACATGTTCTTTTGAATGACCCTTAGGCAAGACCTGATATTTGCCTGTAGCTTTATTTTATTCCCTTTTAAGGTAACAATTGTGAGATTAATACCGGGTGAGTGATGCAGGCCCATTGGGCCTCTTGTTTATACTTATCAATGCATACATGCACTTTATGAAAACATTTGAAAAAGGGTATTTTTTCTTTTACGAAAGGTTTGTCCCTTGTGGTTGAGGGAAGGTGTTTATTCCCATACTCATTCGTACCAGTATCATTCAGGTAGCAGATATTACCCAGTATCTATAAGTAATGCTGAGATGTCAACAAATATTCCTTCATTTGAATATTGGCATGTGTGCAATAACTTCTGGTGATGAATAATTACTGCCAAGGGAATTCTATCAGTTTCAGGACAGACTTAAAATCATACTCCTTGGTTTTGTAGATACGCCCTTCAAATGACGGAAGTATTATGGTATGGGGTTGTCCGTCCGGCGTTTGTCGGCAATCTCCTCCTTCATTTTTTGACCGATTTCTTTGAAACTTGGTATATATTATAATCTTGATATGAAGTTGCGTCTCCCTCATCTTTAGGTCACCTGAGACAAATATAAAGTGACCTATTGCGATCGCCTTTTGTCCATCGTCCGTCCGTAAACAATTTTCATTTTTCGACTTCTTCTCCAAAACCCAAGAACCAATTTCAATGAAATTTTGCAGAAACTATCCATGGCCAAAGGTCAACAAAAAAAGTTGCTGGTTTGGTCCCCGGCCCCCAGGGGCCTGAGGGGCGGGGCCAAAAAGGGTCAAATTGCCTAAAATTTCAAAAATCTTTTTCTCAAGACCCAGATATGGTAGAATCAAATACTCTTCATAGATGGAACGGTCTTAAGGTGCTTTACCAAAATTGTGAATTTCTTGACCCTGGGGTCTTGCGTTTCCCCCTGGGGAGGGGGTAAACTTTACTATAGTTCATATAGGGAAATCAAATTTTGGACCAACATTTGTTTAATTGCCATTGGAGGTAATTCAATTTAGGTTAGCATTAACAGCATTGGGTAGCAGTTTGATGGTATGCCATATGAGCCCTGACTGACCCCCGGGGCTGATGGGAGGGGCCAAAAAGGGTTGAATTGACTAGAATTTCAAAAATCTTCTTCTCAAGACCCAGATATGGTAGAATCAAACACTCTTCATAGATGGAAGGGTCTTAAGGTGCTCTACCAAAATTGTGATTTTTATGACCCTTGGGTCTCACAGTTACCCCTGGGGAGGGGGTAAACTTTACTATAGTTTAAATATGAAAATCACATTTTGGACCAACATTTGTTTCATTG